GTACTATTAGCCAAAATGGCGTAATTTTTTAATAATTTGCTATATAATTATACTATTATTTATGGACATTTGCATATCTATAAATTACATCTCATGGATATAAAATAGATATCCACCATGGATTGGACATTCAGTGGATATTGGGATGTCCAGTAGATATCCAAAGGATTTGGTGTGCTGTCTGGGTGTAGGCGGGCCTCAAACTCAATGGCACGCGAGCTCTGGTGTCACTCACAGAACACCGTGGCGTCGCATCACTTGCACCATTGTAGATACGCCACTGGGAAGCTGTTAGCTTTCATTTGACACCAATAGCATCAAAATGGAAAAATTCACGCATGTCGAAGCGTACAACTATTTTTAAAAGCTAGTTTGGATGTAATTCTGAGTCTTGCCTAGTTATTAGAAACATGACTGGTTATAGCCAGGGGCTGGTAACTCAAATGGAAAAACATGAGGTCGGTAATTTAGTACCACTCCAATTAACGGGATAGCGCTCGTATCGAAATGTCATGTTAGTTGTCAGCTTGTCAACAAAACTTCAAAATTGGAAAAATTAAAATGGCTGTTGTTTGAAGGTGTGTTGGATTTTGATTCATCTAGATATTTATTTTTCAACACCTTCCAATTTTAAGCATGTTTTCAAGAGATGGGATTATGGATTTCAGCAACGAACAATAAAGCACTCCCAGATATAGGTAGTGATGCAATTTATACCACGTATTAAATATGCGGTCGAAATATTAAGGATAACCAATCCATTTGTAATGTCTTAAGAAAAATGCATCTTGTACTGGCATCAACGGTAAGTAATATTTACAAACTTGTTCTTGATTCAGTGTTAAAATAATTGGTTTGTTATTTAAATTTCTTTTTGTTTTCAGTTTTTAAATTATCATTGTTGTAAAGAAAATGTTGGCCCTTCAAAATACCCTGTCGATCCATGAAATATTTGAGCCTCAGCCATCAACATCAAAAATTGATTCAATACCATTGACATCAAACAAGAAAACACCCTAAAATTTTCAAGGGTCCAAACATGTGTAAGTTTAATTTATGCTCAAAAGTTAAATTCATTTATCACAGTGCCCACATGATAAATAAAAAATTGATAACTACAAGTGCTGTATAAATGAATCAAGAAAACAATTATCGGATGAAGAAATGCTCCTCAACCTAACTAGTCGACTCAATAACCCTATGGCAAATTTTATCCACACTCAAATTTTCCTCGATAGTAAAAAAGAATGTTGCTTCAACTTCAATTTTTTTAAACTTATTTGCCTCTCCAAGTCGCAAAACTTTTATAAAGGTCTTGAGCACTTATATATGCTGATTTTGTTACAGAAAACATTTTTGATAGGCTTGTTTTATAAATATTTAATTATTTAAATGGTGTGAATGCATATTTGTTTGAGTATTTCCATGTTTAAATAGACAAATCATATGATGCGGTGTTAATTTACTGTAATAAAAAAAAAAAAAAAAAAATAAATTGCATTTTATTTCAAGTTTGAAATTAATGCAAAAATATAATGAAGTAAAATCAAATTAAGATATAAATTGGCAAAATATTTGGCTAATTTCAAATCACAAAACAGCCAATATGGTTGTTTTATGATTTGAAACTAGTCAAATATTTTTCCAATTTTTTGCTTCATTTGATTTTCTTCATTACATTTTTGCGCTACTACAAAGTTAAATTTCAAAAGGCCCGCTCGTGGCGGCCATATTGAATTTTAGTACCAATCCAATTTGATAGATGGCAGCACATCGACTCAGAATATTACCATTGAGTTTCCCATCTATTCACATTAGTAATCTATGGTTATAGCCTTCTTATAGAAATCTTTTTTTGTAGATTAGAGGTTTGTTCAGGCTAGGGGATCTTTAATAGGGAAATGCTTACTCGTGTTGTAGTACTGTGCACCACCCATAGATGGCGCTACTTACACAAAGTTTGCTTGTTGCATTCGTCGAGCAAATTCAGAGCAGGTTCAGAGTAACGCAAGTTGTTATTTAAAACTTTCAACAGCTAAAAAAACGCTATTAATGGCAATAATGGTAATCACAAAGCATGTATCTTCTAGAGACCCCACGCCAATGTTAAACTTTTAAACCAAATTAGCGCCACCTTGTGTTTGGAGCTGGAACTAAAATGACAATTGACAGATGGCGGTAAATTCAAATTGTAATTTTTAGGAGAAGGTAGTAGTTTTAAATTAAATTTTAAATGATTTCCACATAAATTATTTTATAAAATAAAGTATGGAACTAGTAAGTTCGAAACTTTTATTTTACAAAATAATTTAGGTCGATTATACCAAATTTGAGGAAATAAGTTGTTATAAGGGGTCTGATGTGGAGAGTTGGTTCTGCATATTATTATTAAATAAATATAAGATATATCAATAAATAATAAAATAGAACATTCTTAAAATATGTTTATTAATAACTTAAATAAATATTATTAGATAAAAATAAATACAAATAATAATACATATTTAACGAATACTTACTTGGAGCAAATATATATATATAATCTCAAATCTTTAAAATACCTTTTAATAATTTAAATGTGAAGTAGAGACTAGGATATTACATTTTATTAACACTAAAGTTAAATATTTTATAAATGTCTTTTTAACCGAGGACAAATGTAATATAGGTATTGTATTAAAAGGTGAATCCTTTTAACTATTCATTCAATGATAAATAGGTATTTTCCTTCCAAATACAGATGGTGGTATTACTCTCTTATGTGAAAAATGATTTCGGAATCTAGTCCAGTGATAAATTGATTATCAATTAGTTGTTGTCCCCGTTTGTCTTTTTATGATGCAGATGCATGGTGAATATATGGTGAATCAATGAAGTTTTTCTCGAAGTTTTCAACGTAGCACCAAAATTATTGCAAAACACAGTAGGAAATAAAAAAGCGAAACATCACAATTTTGCAAATAACTAAGACGAAACTATAAACAGAAACCAAAAGCCAAAGCCAACAAAAAATCACTAAAATCAGACGGAAAAATGAAACTAACCAAGAACATAAATAAATACACGTCACATCTTTGGAGTCTTTGGTTAAGTTTTTCTCCCATAAGGCTTAAAAATGGAGTAAGAAATCATAATTTCACCAGTAGCCCCATCTAGAGTTTGGAGCAAATAGCATAAAAAATGTCAGTTGTCGGTTTTGACCTTGGTCATTCACGTGGAACCTCTATGTGCTTTGTGATGGTAATGGTTGATTTGTTTTATTAGGTTAGTTTTTCGAAGATAATTTTTAAAGCTTTAAACATATATACTTATGGTGCGAATTCGTCCTTGTGCTGATCCAGATTGTCAGAATAAAGTTAGTCGCAGGTAAGGAATACATTTACAATTTTATTTCTTTACAAGTAAAAACTTCTTTTTGTATTTTATTCTTAAATACTTTGCCAAATTTTAAGAGCATATATTATTACTTAAAAGTACCCAATTTGTGAAATAAATTTCCAAAATAATGCGGGTAACCTAATGTTTTCTAGGAAAAATTAAAAATATTAACCTAACTTTTATCATTTTCTATACAATTTCAGTAACTAGATAAAATATGTGAATATTAAGAAGATTGAAATAAATAGTGTTATTAGTATTTTTTTAGAATTATACAATATGTAATGGATACTTTATAGTAGATACCTATATACAATTTTTTTTCCGAATTTAAAATGAGGTACTTTTCAAACATACCAATAATTGTATATTTTATATTGTGCGACTCTTATTATTTTTTACTCTATATACTGTGACCTACCTCACCTAGGTATCTTCACAATTTATTGATTTCAATTAATAAAAGTTGCATTCTTACTAAATTCAAATTCCTTCATTTTATTGAAAAATCTTCTACGATATATTTTTAAGAAATGCCGATTCATTCTCACTAGCTAATAAATTAATAGCTCAGCTGAATTGACTCAAAACAAAAATAATAAAATTGAACTTTATATTTTTTAACTGATACTCTTCTTCATTTTTTACATGAAAACGAATCAGCAAACACTGCAATAGGAAGTGACAAGTACACACAACAGCAGCCAGAGCCAACTTTCCCCAGGAACTTTCGTTACAACTTCTACTGGATACAACCATGGGTGAACTTCGCAATAGTTTTATATTCATATTTCTTTATTATTGTGTACTGTAATAAGAATTCGTGCAATTTTAATTCTAATAATAAAAAATATATGGTTATAATCGTGTTTTACTTCATAATAAGATGTATTTTTTGTTCCATAAATCCAAAATTATAATTTTTCGTTTTCTTTTTAACTTAAAATATTTCAAATTTTATCTATCACAGAACATAACCCAATGGATTATATCCATCTAAGTATGTTGAGTGAAGAATAAAATGTTTGAATCATTTTAAGTAAAAAAGAACGAAAAATTATAATTTTGAAAACTTAGTAGTGGTTTATTAGAAAGGCCGAGTTTGAAAAACCCGCGCTCATTGACCCCTACCGCCATCTATAAAATAAATCTTGAACAAATTTTCAATTATTAGTTATCTTCTTTTTTTTTAACTCAACTATTTGCAACCGCTACGGATGGCGCTGAAAGATGAGTAAAATTTTTCACTGTTGAGTGGCCCATCTTTAAAGGGTATGGTCTGTGGGTTTGTTCCAACACAAACTAAATCAGTTTGCGTACTGTCGGGATTCTGCGCAGTCTAGAATTTGTGTTCCAACAAACCTTAGACTCGAAACTACAAATACAAAGTGTTCCAACACAACCAAAACTAATCACAAACCGATTTGTGTACTTTCAAATTAGTTCCTGGGTCTGAATAGGAACGAATTGTCAAGACATGCGCAAAGCCGCAATAAACTGAACATATCGTGATTGTAATTATATTATTTGTAACTATTGTCTCTGACAGTTCTGATTTGTATTTGTTAATCGAGTTTACTCTTTATAGTTTTTGTTCATGATCATTTATTTTATTTTATGGTTTATTATTGTAATAATGCGTCTGTTGAATTTAAAAAATGTGTTCCAACATAATCGACTTCCGAGTTGAGTCCCAATCCCCGACCAGTACCTGACAAGTTGTCAATTACTAGTCATCGACAGATTGTCAACAATAAGTTTTGGACTGGTTTATGTATTGTTCCAAGATCGTTGTTGGAACAAACCTTAGTTGTTGCGTTTAATTTGTAGTCGAGGTTCTGTGGTGACGTCATATATGTACTGGCAACTGGCAAAAGAATTGTTGCATGCCAAATGTAAAGAAAGAAGATACAAAACATAACATAACCTCATAATTTTATAGTCTGATTTTCACGTGGACTGGGTATTGTTTCCATATATTTTCAATTTTCTTGTATTTTCACTGGTATATACTGAAAAAAACAACATGAAACATAAAAAATATGATAAAGATGAAGTTGGTCCACCCAAGAAGAAATTAAAGAACTATGTGGGAAAAGATCATCAAAAAATAAATGAAACTAAGGAAGATGTTTCAGAAGTCAATATTAAAAATTCCAATAAAGGTGGTACATCAAAGAAAAAAATCAATAAGGATGAGGAAAAAGAAAAATCCTATCAAATAAAAAAGGATGTTTCAGAAAAGGGTTCAAAATATGCCAAAACTGCTACAAAGGCTGCACCTACAACTTTAAAAAAACCTTTTTCTAAATTGTCTACAGCTACAAAATTTAAAGGTATTTATTTTTATTTCTGAATTATATAAATACCATATTTTTAAAATTCAATAACTTTAGGAAAAATTGATAAAAATAACCAGAAACTTGATAAAATCGAGGATTGGACAGAGTTTAAAAAGAAAAAGAAAGACTTGAAAATAAAACGAAAACAATCAAAAGATGGATTTGATATTATTGTAAGGGCAAAAAAAATTGGTGAAGATTTGAGAAGGAAGACTCTTAAAGGTGGTGAAGAAAAACGCACGCAGCTTATTAATGAGCTACATAATCTTCTTAAGGGCAAAGGACACTATCAAAAGTTTGTTCTAGCTCATGATACTGCCAGATTGGTACAGTGGCTTCTAAAATATTCTTCAGCAATAGTTGTTGCGCAGATATCTAAAGTAAGTGTTCCTTTAATGACTTTGTTTTTTTTATGTTTATTGATAATAATATATAAAAATAGTTTTATATTCATATGAAACATCAATTACAATTTAGCCAATTTGCATATTACTAATTTCAACATCTAATAAGTTATTTTAATACTGATAAAAAGTATCTTGTTTGTACAAAGATGACGATAAGAGTAATTTGCAAATTTCTGAGTCAGGGTGACATTATTTGCTCTGGAAATGGTTGTGTAAATATCTAATCAAATTTTTTTTCTCATGACTTACACTGGTTGTAGTGGGAATTTTAAAAATCTATATAATATCTAATGTATGCATGGCTCATTTCTTCATACATTAAGTTTAATTATTAATTCATTTATTTGCCATTCATACCTCACAAAAAAATTACACAACCTATGGCCAACAATAATTTTTAAATTCCATTAAGTTTACTGTAGATTTCCGTCAAAAATTTATGTATTTTATAGATTTGCATTAAAAGAAAAATAATTGACTTCCTCTTACTACTTTTAGTAGGTAAAATGTTTTTTCTGTGGCCGTCAATTATTTATTTATTTTTAGGAACTTATACCTGTAAGTGTAGAAATGTTACAGTCAAAATATGGCATACATTGTGTCAAAAGGCTTTTAAAATATGGTAGTAGTGAAATACGTAGTCAAGTAATTGACACTATGTTTGGACATTCTGTAAAACTTGCAAGTCACTCTGTTAGCGCACCAGTGGTAGAATATGCATATTCCACTTGGGCTAGCCCTCTTCAAAAACAGTATCTCACACAAGAATTCTATGGAGATCTTTATAAGAACTCCAAAGACAACAATGTCAAACACCTTCGCGATACTTACAAGGACAATCAAACTCTAAAATCTGCAACCTTAGGAGCTACAAAAGCCAACTTGATTAGAATCTTGAATAAATCTTTGCTGGATTCTGGTTTGGTTCAAACGGTTTTGTTCCAATTCCTGAGTGAATGTTCCGACGAGGATCGTAAAGAAATGATCAGTCAATTGTCACCACATATTGTTGTCATTAGCAATAGTAAAGATGGAGCTAGAGCAGCGATGCAGTGTGTATGGCATGGTTCTAATAAAGACAGAAAAGTAAGTATATTTTAATTTTTTTTTTTTATTCTTTAATGTCTATATTCTTAAACATTGGATTTGATAGTGGGTGGGGTTTACCTCACCTATGAGTAGAAAGGCACAATTAAATTATATGTAAGTCACTATGGAGTGCCATGGCAAATAATAAAAATAATTCTAGACATTAAGAAGGCATATCACTCATTATATCACAAATTTCTGTTTTATTCAAGTATATTTTTTACCTGTTGCTTTAAATAAACCACTTATAGCATAATATGAGGCATCTAGTTTTAAAATACCGAATAAGTCCAATTTTTAAATTTTTTGGTCCACTGTGACAGGTGCTTACTATATATCTGTATAGATATTTTTTTTTATTGTTTTTATAATACAATTAGCATGTGATTTAAATTTTAATTTTCTAACAATTTTTATGGCTAAATATTTAAACTCTCTCATTCTGTAATTCATAGGTTTTAATTACATAGTTATCTATATGAAACTTATTATATTCCCTATCATTTCCAATAAATGTATATTTAGTTTTATTAAAATTATTATTTTTTTTTTTGTATGTGTAAACGGCTTCAACTGCTAATGTTATTTCGCCTTGTGTTTTGTGTAGGCTTTGTTACTGTTTCCCAGCGCCACTTTAGGAGCAGCACTGTTAATTAGAACCCAACAGTGAATGGTCGAGTGGGGAATCCTACCAAGGCATCAGAATTAATTTTAAATAATTAAATGAAAAAATTCCGGCCAACGGTGGGATTCGAACCTGGGACCCTTGGATCCACAGGCAGAGGCTCTACCACTGAGCCACCCACACCATTATTAAAATTATTGTTTTTTTTTTAATTTGCACATACCCACTCATATAATTTTTCCATACTTTTATTGAAACTGCCACCACTTGTTTAATGTTATTTGATGGATAGGATAGAAGTATATAATCTGCAAATAAATGCAATAAAAATTTGATTCTACATAGATTAGAAACAATAAGGGCATCTAAACACTTCCTTATTCATTGACCACTTCATCAGAAATTATGTTTTTTATTTTTACTTTTTTTCCATTTGTTAGGTAATATGATCCAATTTGAGTTGATCTATTGTTTCAAAAGCACGTTGAAGGTCCAAGAATACAGCTATAATAAAATTGTTTTTAATATTCTCCCTCCCCCAATCATCCAGTGCACACTGTAGTGCAGTATCGCAGCCATGCTTGCTACAAAATTCTTATGTTTATTTTTGTTTTGTTTTAGATAATAATGAAAGCAATTAAAGAACACATAACAGATTTGTGCAAACATGAACATGGTCATTGTACAGTAATAACCTTGTTAGATTGTATAGACGACACTGTATTATTACATAAAGTTATTTTGATCGACATACTCAAAAATGCTAAAGATTTAGCAATTAATGAATGGGGTAGAAAGGTAGGAAAAACACAATACGAAAAATGAATTAAAATTTCTAAACTTTTTTTTTTTTTTCAAATTGTAGGTTTTGCTTTGGTTGGTCGCACCAGCTGATTCAACAAAGTTTCATCCAGTCTTTATAAATGAACTTACTGTGGGAAGGGAGTCATCCACTTGTAAAAAATCGCCGGAAATGCGTAGGAACGAAATTTTAGGCTATTCCATATCTACCTTATTAGAATTAGTTTCTAGCGATTCAACTTTTTGGCTGTCAAACGCATCATTGGCTATTGAAATACTAGCCATAGTAAAAGCTGGTAAGCCTAGACATAATAATAATTATTATGTTTATAAAAATTTATACTTTCTAGGCAGTGGAACACAATTGGAAACGACATATTCTAGTATAGTTGAAGTTATAACTGAACCAAATTGGACAATTAAAGAAAACGATAAGGCCATTTTAGGAGTAGAAAGTGCGGGAATTCACATGGCTTTAAAAAAATTGGCTCAATATGATAAAATTAGATTGGAAAACAATGATGTAACTTTTGGCTCTGTTTTAGTAACCAAACTAAATGATGAAATTGTAAGTACCTAACTGTTCGTTTACATATGAAAAAGAAACATTGTTACGTTGTATGCCTGTTCATAATGTATTACTGATAATAAAATATTTCTATTTCCATTTATTTGTAAATCGTGGGCTTACTAAGGGTATGGTCCGTTATTAACCGACTACTAACCGCAAGTAACCAGGATTTTTTGACAGCGGTTCCTGAAAAACAACTAATTTCTTGGTTACTTTTGGACAACGGCCGATATTTACGTCACTTTTGTGACAGATTGACATTCGACTTAATAGTAACCGTAAAAATATAGCGGTTAGTAAATTAACCTTTAAGTCACCATTTTTCAGGTAACCGCGTCCCTAAATTTACCGATTTTTCAGGAATGTCAGGTAGAGCGGTTAGTTTTGGACCGAGCAACCGATATTTCGGTTAATAACGGACCATACCCTAAAGGCTGTATGTCACGATACTAAATTAAGTACTAAATTTAGCACTAAATTAAGTTATTAATTTAGTACTAAATTTAGAACTAAAAATATTTTTTTTCCGTTTGCAACGATACCAATTTTTAGTACTAAATTTACTATGGGCGCACGCGCATTGACGTATTAATACGTGAAATTAGCAGAGAAATGAAATATTCTGTGTAAAACAGACAAGTGAAGTAAATGGTGTTTTATCAATTTGATACTAGTTGACTTGACAACAACCAAATACAGCATAAAAACCACGGAAAAACACAATAAAACCTACAAAATCAAACAGGCGAACTTTATTCAAGGCGATAATGTGAAATTGTCGCTAATTAAAAATAAAAGGGTACAGAAAATACCGTCGTGTCAACTTTTTCTATGAAAAACTTCTGCGCAACATTTCGGCGCACTTTTAGTACTAAATGTAGTAGAAAATAGAACAAGATCTAATTAATTAATGACTTTTTTTAGTACTAAATTTAGTACTAAATTTGCTGTTTGCAACGTGAATTTTTTTAGTACTTAAAAAATGCATTAATTTAGTTCTAAATTTAGTACTTAATTCAGTATCGTGACATACAGCCTTAAGCAAAAAGCACTAAGTCAAAAATTTGTCAAAATGATTTTATATTTGTATGTATCATAAAAAAACAGTACATGGTATTCTGAAAGCATGTACATTTTCTTTGAAGCAGTTGATAATCCTAAATAATTTATAAAAAAAATTAGAACTTCATTGGAACTTTAAATTGCTTATAACTCATAAATCAATTTTTTGACTTAATGCCTTTTGCTTGTGAGCCCACAAAATTCTCAGTATTGATTTTTATTTTAATCTAATTGAAAATATTTTTTATTTAAAAAACATGTTAGTGACATCTGACAAGTGGTGCATGTCACTAGACCAAGGTGAACCAACTCCCATTTAAAAATATTTTTAACATGACTTTTCAATTTGCATTTTAATAAATTAATGGAAAACGATATACTTATTCTTTGATGAATAAACTATAAGGGTCGATTTGTAACAGTTCATAAATTTGGTAAGAAAGCCCGAAAATCAGATAAAATCATCCCTGTTGGCAACATTGTTGCTGTAAATACAGTGAATTCATATTAGCGGATTTTTACTTATAACCCTGATAAATTTTATGTTTTCTTTTGTTTTTAAATGAGAGTTGTTTTGCTGTATGATCTACCGTAATAGTTGGTACCTTGCATAAATAATTTGCCATGGATTATATTTAATACTTTTTTTCAGTTGAATATATGGTTGACCTTAAATAGGGGATGCTTTTTACTAGTTGCCATATTTGAAAATGGTTCTGAAGATACTCAGAATGAAATAAGGATTAAATTGAAGAAACATGTGAAATTGTTAAAAAAACAGAGTTCTTCAGGTGCAAAAATACTGTTGAAGAAATTGTCTTAGATTGTAGCTTTGAATACATTTTATTTTAAGACTTAAGTTTTTGTTTTTTTTTGTTGTCACATTTTGATTGTTTCCAAAAGGGAATTTGTTATTGGTATATTTTAATTTCAGAATTTGAGTCACACTAATAAATAATATTTTATTATTAAATCCCAACTTCAGATGTGCAGGCTGTTTCGAAAAACATTTTAATAAAACAAGGTTGGTTATAATCTAAAATATGACAGTTTAGGTCGAAAATCCAAAATAAATTTGAAATTTTGGGATGTCATATCAACAGAAATTTCTGCTAATACGGCATCCACCAAATCCTATAGAGAACCATAATAAATTCACATGATCTTCTGTAGGATTCGAAGCCCGGTGTTTTTCTACCATAAAATTGGCTCGCAACTGAATGCGACGTCGTAGACACCTACTCTACCGTAACTGAAATTGAAAAAATTGCAACTTATTTTTTGAGAGAGGCGCCCCCTCCATATCAGCTATAGGGCCCCGGGTCGAATTTTTTTTGCGAATTTCATAAACAGCTTATTGCACTTATATACATACGGAAAACACAGTGTCTAGGTACACGCTAACTTGTAGGCAATTCAAAAATTTATATACACGCGAAACGTCTTGACAGAGTAGGTGAGCTGTGTGCAGGCCGTTGGTGTTTACGCCGGTCGTATAGAGAAAGTAAAAGTTGAAAAGTCTTTTGGTAGGTAGAGAGGGGGTAAACGTCAAACCACGTCGGGCGGCTCCGAGAATTTCGCAGTAATGTTTACCTGCCAGTGTCGTTTCATAGAATAAGTAATTTTAAATTGTTTTCGGCGGAACCGGACAATCGCATGTATTTATGGATTATAAATAATTATTAAACATGTATTATAATATTCAAATCATAATTTTACAAAATTTCAACAGCTATTCACAATTTATTAAACTATTTACTCGAAATTGTTATTAACATCTATAAAAGGGGGGTGGGTTGGCTCAGTGATTAGAGTCATGACTTTGAGATCGGAAGGTCTCAGGTTCGAATCCCACCGTTGGCCGGGATTGTTTCATTTAATTTAATTATTTAAAATTAATTCTGATGCCTAGGTAGGATTTCCATCTCGACCATTCACTGTTGGGGTCTAATTAACAGTGCTGTTCCTAAAGTGGCGCTGGGAAACAGTGACAAAGCCTACACAGAACACGAGGCTAATGGCCATAGAAGTCGACGCCGATGACACCAAATTAAAAAAAAACATTATAAAATAATTTTGTACCCCAATGTATCGCGTCCACTTCGGTGAGATCCGCTGCCAACCTGTCAATTTATGTGTATAAAGTGGGAGAACTGGCAAAAGCATTTCCAACTTTTACTTCTGTTCTAGCTAGGTATGGATTGAATTTTTTTTGTGGCGGCGAAGCAGCCACCTTACGAGAAGTCTTTCCTTCTTTTTCTTGTTGTCACGGCATTATTATTATTTGTTCATGTATGTGAAATTTGCTTGTAAGGTTTATAAAATACTACTGTGCTAGTCACGGCGTAAATGAAAACAAACAAGACGCATTTTCACACCAACACCTCCCACCACAGCAATATGACGTTTCGCGTGTATATAATTTTTTGATTTGTGTACACTTTAGCATGTACCTAGCAACAGCGTACAGAAAATGCACAAAGCCAGTCAAAAAAACATTGAAATATAGTTTTATTACAAATATAACAACATTAATTTAGTTAGGAAGGTATTTAGAAACTTGGAGATGGAATAAGGTTCTAAATTACACAGAATAGTTATATTTGTTTAATGTGCCAAATTAATGTCTGCAGGCAGATGGTTGTAAAATTTTATGCGCTCCTCATTCGTAACCAGATAGTTTGTGATAAGAAAGATATTGTAGATGAGCCAAACCATTATAATGCTTTTAACCAGCCTGATATTCCCTTTATAGAGTTTTCCTTAAGTGATGTTTATGATGGTATTAACTCCCTAAAAGATAAATTGAGTTATGGTCCAGATGGAATCCCTACTCATTTTTTAAAAAAAAATGTAAATTCACTCTTTCCAAACCACTACAGTTTTTATTTAATTCCTCTTTGGAATTACAACAGTTTCCTGCCAAATGGCGTGATAGTTTCATTACCCCCATATTTAAAAATGGTCATAAAGATGAAATAGTTAACTATCGCCCTGTAGTTTTACTTTCTGCAATAGCTAAATTATTTAGAATTATTATATAAACCTTTGTCATGGCATTGCAAAAACATTTTGATTGAACAACAGCATGCGGGTTTATTGGAGATAAGTCTACTAATACAAATTTACTGCTCTACGAACATTATATCATTTCTGCCTTCGAGAGGGGGTGTCAAGTTGACTCAATTTACACTGACTTCTCGAAGGCATTTGACACGGTGAACCATGATTTGCTTTTAAGGAAACTAGTAAAATTCGGTTTCCAAACTACTTAGTGAAATGGTTAGAAAGTTACCTGCAATCCAGAGTTCAATATGTCAAAGTTAAAAGTTTTACTTCGATTCCAATAAATGTAAGTTCAGGTGTCCCCAGGGATCTCATTTAGGACCATTACTATTTAATATATTTATTAATGATGTGGCTTCAGGATTTAAATATTGTAAGTTCCTACTATTCGCCGATGACCTGAAATTATTCATGGAAATCTTAATCTGACTGAAGTTACAGGATGATTTAAACTATTTTATTAATTGGGCTTTAAATAATGCCATGTCTTTAAATCCACGTAAATGTTTTTCAATCACATAAAATTATATTGGACTTGATAGGAAAGCATTGGGAAACAACATCAACGGATGTCGAGGTGTTATATAATAATTTTTCAAATAATGTTCGAGACTCTCTCAATAAAATTAGCCCCATTAATAAAATTAAATGCAATCAGACACCATGGATAAATATACGTGTTACACAGGCACAAAAATTACGAAACGCAGCGTACAATAGATTTAAGTTTACAGGTACTCAGTGATATATCCGGAATGTAACATTACCCTGTATTTGTAAATAGGTTGAATGAGAGACATATGTTATGAGATTGTCATTGTCATAAGTGTTCTAATAAAAAATAATAATTATATTGATTCTGGATCATTTCATGGCGCAGTCAGTAGGATATACAATTGGTGAAAATGGTATTAAAGCAGATCCAGTAAAAATTGAAGCAATCAAAGATTTTCCGGAACCGAAGAGTATAACGGAATTAAGATCATTTATGGGTCTAGTTAATCAACTAGGTCACTTTTCACCCGAAATAAGTTCATGTGCAGTTCCTTTAAGGGATTTATTGAAAGTCAAAAATGAATTCCGATGGTCAACCATCCATGATATGGCTTTTAACAATATAAGAAAAATTCTTTCTGAACCACCTATATTAGCACATTATGACCCATCATTACCAACAGAAATACAAACAGATGCTTCAAGACTACATGGTTTGGGCTACGTTTTGTTACAACAACATGATGAAGTTTGGAAGTTGGTACACTGTGGGTCAAGATTTCTTAGTGATGCTGAATCAAGATATGCCATGGTAGAATTAGAATTATTAGCTGTTAGTTGGGCAGTAAATAAATGCAAACTATATTTACTAGGCCTAGAGAATTTTGTTATAAAAACAGACCATAAGCCTCTGATTCCAATTTTAAATAATCAGACCCTTGATAGTATTCAAAATCCAAGAATTCAAAGACTAAAAGAAAAATTAGCGGGGTTTATTTTTCAAGCAGAATGGGTACCAAATTCAAGACATTTAATGCCAGATGCCTTATCACGAGCTCCAGTGACATATCCCAAGGAAGATGATATATTGTTGGACGAAATTTACAAAATAAATGCCATTAATGAAGATTTAGCCGATATTAATAATCTTGAAAAATGTGATCCTATATTAAATGAAATTAAAGGGTTCGCAACAGGAGATCAAGACTATCAAAACTTAATGGAATTTATAGTTAAGGGTTTTCCAGATACCAGAAGTCACTTGCATGCAGCATTATTACCTTATTGGTCAGTTAGAGGTGAGTTAAGCGTCGAAGATGGTCTGATTTTAAAAGGTTGTCAAATACTTATACCTAAAGAAATGAGGAAGTTGGTTTTGAAAAGGCTTCACGATTCACACCAAGGAATCGAAAGAACTAAATATCGTGCACGTCAAGTGGTATTCTGGCCAGGGATATCAAATGACATTAAAAATATGGTAGAATCATGTGAGTTATGCCAGGTGTCTCGACCTTCTTTGCAGAAAGAAACAATGGTACATGATTCAGTGCCAAATCGACCATATATATCGGTATCTTGTGACCTTTTTACTTGTTTTGGGAAGCATTATTTAGTTTATGTAGATAGATTTTCTGGATGGCCAACTATTTGTCATTACAACAATAGGGTACCAACTAGTTTAAAAATTATAAATGATTTAAAAATTATATTTGCTAGTACAGGAATACCCATTCATATCCGAACAGATAATGGTCCTCAATTTAGCTCATTCGAGTTTAGACAGTTTTTAAAGAACTGGAAAATTATTTATTGTCCTTCTACACCTTATTACGCTCAAAGTAATGGGCATGCAGAAGCTGCAGTAAAGGCGATGAAAAATTTAATTAAAAAATGTACACAAAATGGTAATTTAAATGAAGACACATTTTATTGGGGATTGTTGGAGTGGAGAAATACACCTAAAGCAAACGGTCGTTCTCCTGCTCAAATGATTTTTGGTCATCCATTAAGATCTTTAGTACCTGCTCATACCAAATCATTTTCATTAGAGTGGCAGATAGATGCAGAGAAGTGTGAGAAGAGAGCCCTAGATCAAATTGAATACCAAAAGAACATATACAACAAACATGCAAAAGATCTACCAAAATTAAACATAGGTGACACTGTAAGAATACAGGACCCGATTACCAAACTTTGGAACACTATTGGAGAAATTATTGAGGTAGGAAGATATAGAAACTTTACAATTAAATTAGTCAACGGCAGAGAAGTAAAGAGGAATAGAAAATTTTTAATAAAAATTAAAAAAAAGGGAGATGAAGGAGAAGAAATTTAGAAAGGGGAGATGATATATCCGGAATGTAACATTACCCTGTATTTGTAAATAGGTTGAATGAGAGACATATGTTATGAGATTGTCATTGTCATAAGTGTTCTAATAAAAAATAATAATTATATTGATTCTGGATCATTTCAAGGATTGGAATGATTATAAAAACAAGAGGAACCAGGCAGTCAATGTATTACGCCGAGAAAAGAAATTATTCTACGAAGACAAAATTGACAAATCCAAAGGAGATAGCAAAAAGATGTGGCAAACAATAAAACAGTTATTTGGACAGAAGAAAGATCTGCCAATAGTTAAAATCAATTTTGAAGGCTATTCCGGACCACCTGAAGAAAACTTTAATAAATATTACAGTGATAGCATTCGTGATCTAGCTGAGAGTATAGAAGATAAAGGCTTACTGCAATTTGGAAATGACCTTGAAGTACAGAAAGAACAATTAGCAAAATTTCAAGAAATTACTTTCAGCCAGTTACAAAAAATAGTGAGCAGCCTAAAGAATAAAAGTTCGAGTGACGGTTTTTTAAGTCCAAAACTTCTTAAAGACCTATTTTGTGTAGTTGGATATCCCTTGCTAAATATTGTAAATACAGTGATAACTAGTGGACGAATCCCTTCGGATCTCAAAATTAGTGTAATCGTGCCAATAGCTAAAGTTCCGTCGCCAACCCTGCCAGAACAATTTAGGCCAATTAATTTACTACCAACTATAGATAAAATTATTGAAATTGTGTTAAGAGATCAATTGAAGCTATTCTTTGAAAGAAACAATATTTTGTACTCAGGGCAGTCTGGTTTTCGTGATGGTCATTCATGTGAAACGGCATTGCAATTTGCATGTTTTAACTGGAGGGAGGAAATTAATAAAGGAAAAGTAGTTTTGAGTGTATTTGTGGATTTAAAGCGTGCTTTTGAAACGATTGATCGGAAACTGCTACTCTACAAACTACAGAAATATGGTATAAAATCAGATGCCATAAAATTAATCCACAACTACCTTCAAGGCCGATACCACCAAACTAGAGTAGGCAACAGTGTGTCCAATGGAACGGAATGTAATTTCGGTGTACCACAAGGCAGTGTCCTGGGCCCTTTATTGTTCATTATATATATAAACGACATAAAGGACGCGTTACAACAATCTTTTGTAAGTTTATTTGCGGATGACACACTCATATCTGTCGCGGCTACTAATTTTGAAGAAGCTGTTCGCACCTTAAACAGTGAGCTAAGTATTCTGTATGACTGGTTGTGTATCAACAAATTAAAACTAAATGCAAATAAAACCAAGTTTATGGCAATGGGATCTAAATCGACCTGTAACAATTTTGCGGAGCGAAATTTTATCATCTGTATAAACAATAGTGCCATTGAACAAGTATATACGATTAAATACCTAGGAGTTATTTTAGATCCTCAATTGACTTTCAACAGTCATGCAGACTACTTATGTAGGAAATTAGGGAAGAAAATAGGGCTCTTTAGAAGAATAGCTTCAAATTTGTCTCAATGGAGTAGAAATCTTGTTTATAACACAATTGTATATCCACACTTTAACTTTTGTATGTCACTTTTACTTTCATGTAATAAAGAACAAGTAAGCAGACTTCAGGTACTCCAAAACAAATGTATGAGAGTTGTTCTAAAATGTAATATTTACACTCCAATCAAAAATATGCTACAAACCCTAAATTGGCTTTCTATTGAACAGAATATTAAAAAGGCAACCCTCGTTGTAATCTATAAAATGATGCATCAATTAACACCGAAATATCTAAGTGAGTTACTAGTTACGCGGCAACACTTACATTCTCGACATTTAAGATCCGATGAAAATTTCAACATAAATTTTTCAAATAAAACTTTCTTAATGGGATCGTTGCTAATTAATGGAATACATCTTTTTAATAATCTGCCAAAAGAAATAAAAGACTCTAGCAATTTGAATTTGTTTAACAAAAAATTATGTAAATATCTTAGAGAATCAAATTAAACAATTGTGTATATTATGTAAGATAACAAAAAAAATATGTAAATAAAAAAAAAATAATTGTATATAATAGCAATGGCTAAATAAACGGATTCATTCATTCATTCACCTTCACAAGATCAAAAAACCCTATAAATTTTCTTTATAATATCAATACTACTGTTTTGGAGAAAGTTAGTGAAATCAAGGATCTAGGTGTGATCTTCGATAGTTCTTTGACATTTGTCCCACACATGAGATCCATCATTAGTAGAGCTCTGAAAACATTGGGATTTGTGACCAGGAACTCTAGAGAATTATCTGTGCCTACATTCCGAACCCTTTACTTAACACTAGTGCGCAGCATCCTCTTATATGCTTCACCAGTCTGGTCACCTCATTACCGGACTTATATTTTAAATTTAGAAGCAGTTCAAAATAGGTTTCTAAGAACTTGTCAGTGGAAGTTACATATGCCTTATCTTTCTAAGAGGGAGCTTAATAACCATTTAAACTTATTGTCAGTTGAGAAAACGTTAATTATAGTAATGATCTTTTATTTCTTTATAACCTTCTGGAAGGGAATATAGCTTGTCCGGATATGTTGGAGCTAATAAACTTTAGATTAAACAACATAAATATTAGAGAGAAACCATTATTTTCAATTAGCTTCCATCATACGAACTAGGGACTCAACAGTCCTTTAACCAGATTTCAAAGGCAAGGAAATTAAACTAACAGACACACTGATCTTTTGGGATTTAGTCAGTTTAGGTTTAAAAATCAGCTGAGGGAGTACTTATCGAGTTAGCTTTAGCTCTTAAGTTTTTTTTTTCTTTTTTGTGTGATACTTTAAGTTAGGTTTAAAATATCTGATAATAATTATTTTATAAAAGATTTTCCGTAAATAAATAAAATAAAAGTTAAGCCTTATACCATCATAAGCTTGAGTAGATTTAAACTCTTCAAAATAATGAGTTTTTTTTTAAACAAAAATGTAATGCACTTAAATGCATAATGCAGGAATTGTAAGTATATATGTTCTAAAAGACTTTCTAAACCCCATTTTTTTATTATAGGGATAGCTCGTCTATAGCATCTGTGCTCGCCCCGCACTATACCATATGTGGCGCTCGAGTAGAAATTTAAAAATAAAATGTTTTAGCCATATTGCTGTTACAATTTCTAGGATTCTTAATCCATTATTTCACTGCTTAGAAATAGAGTCTAAGTATAAAGAAAAATTTAATGAATTGTCAAGATAGATTCACTGTACTGTGAAAACGGTATTTGACATTAGTTAATATATTATAACAGCAAATGCATCAAAACAATTATGTTTCATTTCCAGGTCTTTCAAGGATTTTTCTGTTTATACATTCTAAACGATGTATTTGTTTCTAGTTGAATCACAGTTAATACTGTTCATAAGTATCAAATTGAGGCTATTCTGAATATGCGTTTAAAAATGGATTATACAATGTTAACCCATGATCCTTCTAAATAAAAATGAGATGCTTGATTATATTTGTATGTGAAAAAAATAGACACCTCTGTCTAATCAAAAACATTGCTTATTCTATACCATTGTTCTGGCATCATTGTGGGAAACTTAACATATACTATCAGAGGAGATTGCTGTAATTAATTCTCAATTAAACTTGAATCTAGAAACGTTTCTGTTATATTTATAAACAAATAGTTAACATGCAATATTGATTGTCCTCAATTAGTAAATCTTATAAATTTTAATCCCTTTAAAAGGACTAGGCAATTCGACTTATTCAATATTCCACTACATACCACTAGTTATGCTTTTAATTCGCCAGTAAGTTGAATGTAACATGTAATAAGTTAAAATGTGAAATTGTGATAGTTTTGGACCTAATAATGCTCTCAGAACATATTTAAATAATATTGAAATCGAACATTTTATGTCTTCATTTTTAAATTGATTTTTTATTATTATTAATTGATAACATTATATTTTGTATTATTTATTAGTATTTATTTTGTCTGCTATTATTCTACTGACTGTAGTCTTTTTAAATGGGGTTACCATAAATAAATAATATTTTGTAGAAGAATAAATTTTGTCTATATATTTTTAAAATATCTATTTTACAATTACACACATTTTCCACAGCATTTATTAACTAAATCAGCATCAGGTTTGTGATTAGGAGTCCAAGGACCCAAACTTGCATTTGCATAAAAATCCATGGGGTAACTAGAACCTTCTTTATGCCATTTCGCATCACCAACAACAATGGATGCTTCATAAGGTGTAACTACAGGTTTTCTAAAAGCGTTTCCCCAATCAATTGATAAACGAGGACAAGCTATTTGTACAAACGCGTCGATATTCCTAAAGAGGTCCAGCTTATTGGGAAATATTTCTGAAAGAAGAATAACAACTGTTTGTTTTTCAACTGCTTCTAATCGCTTTCTTAAATGATCTACAACTTTTAGGTTTCCTTGACGCCCTAAAGTTCCCATAATAACTCCGAAAGTCCCAACTTTTACTGCTTTTTGAATGCTATCTTGTCTAATTTTTTCCATTTCTACATGATTATAGTACTCCCTGGTAAATTCTTTTGAATAAGGATCATATTTATATGCTTGAATTAGTGGATTTGCTATGATAGCTGCTTCTAAATGGAATCGTCCATCACCAATGTAAATCAAAACTTCTGCACACTTCAAAACTGGAGCTGTGCATCCTAAGATTTCTCCTGGAGATAGCGGTTTAAATTGTGGTACTGAAATATCATAACCCATTTCTTTTAATTTCTTATTTGTTGCCTGAATAGTAGCCACAAATTGTATCGTACTCACTAATGCTATTTTGGTAGAAGTTTTGAAGTTTAATTTAATTGTATCGATAAGATGCAGTGGATCAATCTTAATGTCGACAAAAATATATAAAATTTTAATACCAGATAATTGATCTGAAGGAACCAAGCAGCTATGACCGTAATGAATTAGTAGTTCTACTCCTAATGCTTTGGCCGTCAAATCGTCTATGCAACACGCGCCATATGTTACATCTCCCATTATAATTGAATCTGCCCCAGAGAATTCTTTAATTATATCCGATATAGTCGTAGAAAAAATCAATAAACCTTCGGGCATTTGTAAAGCTACGATTTTCGCATTCATTTCTTGTATACGCCATATAGCTTTAGGTATTTCAAAATTGTAATTTTTTGGTAATACCGAAATTGCAGCTTGCAGTCTCGTGTTATTTAATAATGAATCTGGAATCTTTGTAACTTTTGTAGCTTTAAACACCTTCCTTTCAGGTTTGGCTTTGATTACTATAGCAGAATCACTCATTTTTGCATTACAATTTGAAAAGGGCAAAGTTAGGTTATGTCAAAAGTCAAAATATGTCAAAATTATCTTTGACACTATCAATGCTATATAGTTATATAGATTGCTCAAAGCGGGTCGCATTGCGAGCGGCCATTGCCGCGCAAAAGCTCATTTTGAGAATCGGTTTAGCAAAAATGTGTATTAAAACCAATTTTTACTTTCCTATCTGTATACAGATATATGGAAAGTATAGGAATCATGAATTTTCCACCTCGAGTTTTCGGCGGATTTTTACGTTTTGAAGTCCCCTGAATCCGTTTTGACTATTTTCGCGATAATGTCTGTGTGTATCGCATAACTCATGAACCACATGAACCGATACACAGAAAAACACCAAATTTTAAACTTAAGCTTTGTTCCAGCGTCCAATGAACTGATTAGATTTTAAGCGAGTCGGAACATCTGGGGGGGTACTTTATAGGTGGTCATTTTTATATTTTATCTGTTATTTACGTTTGGAGAAGAAAATTCTTCAAATAAAAGTTACTTCTTATATTATTATCTATCATTTTTGTTCTATACAAAATGTTCCTAAAATCGTCCGTTTTCGAGAAATTTGACAAAATGTAAAAAAAAAAATTTTTATAAAAATTGTTTAAATAAAAGTTGTTTGTAATATAATTCTTATCCTATACATATGCTGCGTTTGAGAATCCACATCGGATGCATCTGAGATGTAAAAATCTTTGATCACGTGATGCAGTATACGTAAATGTAATGGGACAGACGTGTCCGATGTGGATAAAAAAACGCTCGAGATGTAAAAAATGCATCCGATGTGGATTCTCAAACGCAGCAATAATTTCTCTAAAATGGTCCGTATTCGAGAAATTTGACAAAATGTGCAAAATTCTGATTTTTATGAAAATTGTTGAACTAAAAGTTGTTTGCGATATCGATCTCTATAATTTTTGTTTATACATGATTTTTCTAAAATGGACCGTAATGAAAAAATTGTAGGAAATTTAAATTTTTATGTATTTTCGTTTTCAATGAATATCTATAGAAAAATGTTTCGAGGTAGATGTATGTGGACAATGTATATATTTAGTTTATCCTCTAAACATTTATAGAGATGCTGCAATAGGTTGTACAAAATAACCGGAAAAAGCTTATAATAAGTCATGTGTTGGATACATCAGATTTTTATCCTTTGAATATAGTAAAAAATAATTAGCTAGGGTTTTACTTCAAGACATAAGCTTATATTTCCTTTCAAAACATAGATCAATCTATATAACTATAGCAAATCACAGGTCCACAGGGTAGCCCTATCTTTATTTAAATTAAATTTTGTTTAGAATGCTTAATTTTTCACTATATGAATTCTAGGCATATTCCACTATTCAAGGTTTAGGGATTTTTATGGCAATAAGAAAATAAATTTAATTTCTCAAACTTAATTATATTTAAAATTTTGTATATTTATAATACAGATAATATTTTAATAACATAATGACAAAAACCGATACAGAAATTTTAATTTTTAGTCATAATTTCTCTTCATTATTGCTTTTCTTAGGTGGAGGAAGTATCTGAAACCTAATGTCAGACCCTTTTTGTCGTTTTTGTACAAATTTGATTTCACTACCAATAGACTTTTCTATAATGTTGTACACAGACTCTGCTTTTTCCATATTGCTTATATCTCCATTAATAACTATTTTAACTTCATACATTCCGTCTAGCCACTTTTTCATTTTTTTAATGTGAGTTTGCAAATCGTGTTCAAAGATATTGTGATTAATCATCAACACTTTTTCACCTTTAATCGAATTTTTCCTAGTTTCTTTTTTCAGTGCTCTTTGTTTTATATCTTCAGAATGGTATTCACTGCCAGACAGTAATTTGTATACGGGCCTCTGTGTTTTTGTTTCGAAATCGACAAGTTTTACTAATTTAAGATCCCTCCTTTTTGATAATTTTTGAGCTTCTTCTAGAGTAGTAACTGTTAATTCTTCACCATTTAATAATGTAATTTTGGGAATTGCTGCGGTTTTCTTTTTGTTGGATTTTTCTTGAGTTTCACTGCTTGCTTTTGATGAAAATGAATTGCATACACCTAATGGAAAGGTTGTGAAACATTTTCTATTTAGGTAGATGTCGTTCCTTAAAGAATTTCGTAACATAAATGACAATAACACTTTGTTAAGAGACATTTTATTTCTACATGTCATAAAATTTTTAGACTTTGAGATTATTTCTTTTTATTTTTCTATGGATTATTTTATAATTTTTTTACATTTTTGGTCAAACATAACCTGTTTTTCTTCTTCTTTTAATTCAAGAGTCTCAGGTCCCAGTATGTATGTGACACTAACACAAAAATGAAGAATGGTATTGACTAACGGTTGCATACGACGAGTAATATTTTGTCTCGTGTCTATAGGTACCCACAAAGCACATTTTTCCCCAAACAAATTCCAAAATTACCCCTACGAAATAATGAAAATTATTTTTGAACACCGAAGTGAAAACAAATTTGATGAATAATTCAAAAAAATTGGTCCACGCGGGAATTCGAACCCACCTATTCGTGTTCTACGCACACCGCTTTAACCAACTGAGATATCGTCTCGTAAGATATTCAAATTGTTTGTTTTAACTATTACAAAAAATTAATTACCATGTAAGTAAAAGTTTCTTGTGGTGTCATTCTGTATAATTTTGTCCTATAAAATGGACCGTATTTGAGGAAAAGTTTGAAGCAACTCAAAAACGGATAAAGCAAAAAACACGAAAATTTAAAATTACACTTTAATCCATTCTGCGCTGAAATGATTTTAGTCGAAGCATCTGTGGGTACTTTAGGGTGTCTTTTTTTATTTTAAGGAATATCTGTTATTTACGGAAAAGATTCTTCAAATAAAAGTTGTCTGCGCGCGATATCTCTTTATAATTTTTGTTCTTTACAGGATTTCTCTAAAATGGACCATATAATGGAAAATTTTTAGGAAAAGTGTAAAATTGTAAGTTTTCAGTATATTGGTTGGCATTAAATATATAAAAAAAATTTTGAGTAAGATGTGTGTTGAAAACATGTTCATCCTCTAAACATTTATTACAGGGGAGATTATCCCTCTGGACTCTCAGGATATGAGGCAAAGCATGGGGGATCAGTCCTCAACTGATCTATTGGATCTACCAAACAGTGGTAAAACCCATGGTTACGTACGGCTCTGTCGTCTGGTGGGACAAAAGGGACTCCACCCAGACAGCACACCAAATCCTTTGGATATCTACTGAACATCCCAATATCCACTGAATGTCCAGTCCATGGTGGATATCTATTTTATATCCATGAAATGTAATTTATAGACATGCAAATGTCCATAAATAATAGTAATTATATAGCAAATTATTAAAAAATTACGCCATTGTGGCTAATAGTACCGTTCAGATATTTAAAATTAATTTTTTTAAGGTGTATTCAATATCCCATGGACATCCACATATATCAAAGTCTTAGCGCGGACGCAAACCATCGTGGATATTTACTAGATGTAATTTTTGATTTTGCTTCCTAAGTATAGATGGCGATACCACTTTCGTATCTACTCATGCTCAACCCGCCATAATTGAGTTGATCGAAAAAAATTTCGCATTAAGACTCTATTAGAGACTGGAGTCGAGAATTTCCATTTATTGCTGAAGAGTCCTAATAAGGATGACTTTTTTCTTAGTGGGCAAACTCAAAGGCAGATTGTTGGAAATATTTTTTATCTCTATTTTCTTTCGACGTTATTCAATAATATAATCATTTGGTTACTTATGAATGTCTACTAAAGATACCTATAAAATATTTTGCTGAATATCTCCTGGGATATAGACGGACATTTGGTTGGATATCCAAAAAATATATTCTGTGTATATCTCTGGGATTTCTTGTATTGTCTGGAAGATACTAATTAGATATTTTGCTGAATATCCATATAGGATATCTTCTATATTCTGGATATAGACGGACATTTGGATATCCATATTAGATCCACGGAATATTTCTGATATCCTGTGGATATATTGGATATCCACAAAAGATATTCTGTGGATATCTCTGGGATTTGGTGTGTTGTCTGGGCAACGGACGGCCAGAGCAAAGCTGGCTGGAATACAGCGGCTTGCGTGCCTCGCCATAACTGGAGCAAGGTCAACTACACCTACGGGAGCCATGGAGAACATGCTGGACCTAACCCCTCTCCACATTCTGCTGGAAAGGGAAGCCAGAATGGTCTCCTACAGGCTCCTGAAAAGGGATAGTCAATGTTACGAAGAACTGCGGTGGGACAAGACGGGGCTGATGAGTGAAATTATTAATCACCCCATCCTCGGCATGGTCTCGGACTCGCTAGTTCCCCGACAGCACATAGAAAAGCCATACAGCGTCCTCATTCCAGAGAGAGACGCATGGATCAAAGGGGAAAAACCCTCTTCCAGGCAGACTATGCGTTGCACACGGACGGCTCCATAACTGAAAAAGGAGTAGGAGCGGGAGTTTTCGGCCAGAGGCCTAGAGTTGACATATCAATAAACCTAGGTTCTCTGGCCACGATCTTCCAAGCAGAAATGATTGCTATAGAATTGGGAGCGAGAGAGTTGATCAATTTTCTCCCCGCAAACAAGACTATAAAGATATTTTCAGATAGCCAGGCAGCCCTTAAGGCCCTGAGCTCCAATCGAGTTGACTCAAAGCTGGTTTGGAACTGTATAAATACCCTAGAGTGTCTCGGTGCCCGGAACAAAGTTACTTTGATCTGGGTTCCGGGACACAGTGGTGTGGAGGGTAACGAAAAAACCGACGCACTTGCTAAAAGAGGAACCGAATCTGTGTTCATAGGACCTGAACCATTCCTGGGCATTGCAAAAAGCACTGCCAAAGGAATTATCTCAAAATGGACGGAGGAGAGATCTACGCATTTTCACCGGACTGATGACAGGACACTGCCGTCTGTGCAACCACATGAGAAGGATAGGTCTGCAACAAACATCGGACTGTCGATTCTGCAGCGTGGAGGACGAGTCTGCAGAGCACATTTTATGTACCTGCTCCGCTCTGGAAAGAACCAGATTCCAGATCTTCGGATTTACCCGACTCTGAAGCCTACCGACTTTAAAGAAGTCTCACCCAATTCAACCATGACCTTTATCAAAAGGTGTGACTTGTACGGTGAACTATAAGTTAGTCATGAGCCACAATAGACCCATTTGGGTCGCAGTGGAAGGCGATGAGATCATCCCACTCATTTTCAACCTAACCTAACCTACAGGGGAGATGCAATAGGTTGTACATAATAACTGGAAAAAACCTGTAATAAGTAGACAGGAGTTATGTGTTGTTTTTTACCTATGATACCTATATTTTGACCGTTCTAATGTTTTGAGAATTTCAATAATTTTCTTTATTATAGTGACTATTTTTGTTGTATTATCATATATTAAAGAAAAAACTCAGTATGTTCATTGTTCAGGTATAAACACTGGATATGAGAATATGATGTCACTTGACAATTTTGGCAGCATTGGGGAGGAGCAGGTAATTTTAGCTCTTAAATTAAGCGAATTTTTATTTTAAAAGGTTGGTACTTTTTAAACGTAGCATATGTATGTAATGGCCCATATTGCAAAAATTAAACAATGTTAGATTGTTAAATTTTTATAATGATTTGATTCAAAATATACAAATAATAATACCACACATTACCAAGGTGCATTGCGCACATTATGTTGCATATTTGGTGGAGGTATATTTGGGTTAAACCCATGAGGGAACATATGAATATGTTTAACATTTTGTTTTGTTCTTAATTTATCAAACATGTTTGTCATTTGATTCTTGATTGTGTTACAGCGATTTTCTGTGTGTTCAAATTGCTTATGACGTTCCAAGCTATTATTATGGTGTCGTTTGCGGATCGAGTGTTGTTCTGATTGACACTCATCATCAGAAGAATCTATTTCGTCGCTAGGCAGCTCTTCGTCTCCTAACCAAGAAGCATCGGTTCCTTTCATCCTAAAAAAATGTAATGTATTATAATGATTGAAAGGACATTAAATAATTATTCATAATTGAATCTATCTTTTTAATCGAAACAATCGAATCGATTCTGTAGATATACTAGATATTATTATTATTATTAATACATCAAATAGACGCCGAAACAGCTTATCGTAATAGTATTTTGAAAGAAGAAATTTATATGTGTATACAGGATGGTTTTAAAGCTAAACAAAAACTCTTTAAATTAAATAAATCAATATGGTTTAAAGCAGTCTGTGATAAAATCATGACTTTAAAAACTATGAAGTAGATTGTTTATATTTTTTAAATAGGGGCTTCATAAATAAAAATATATATGTAATATTATACGTCGATGATCTGTTAATAGATTAATAGCTACAGCAGACAAAGACAGTTTAATATTAAAGATATACAAAAATTAAAACTTTTTCTAGGTAATAAAGTGGACCGAAATAAAGATAGAATTACCCTAGTTAATATTTGAAAACCGTTTTAAGTATATTCAATATGGGCGATTGCAAGCCGGTCAATACACAATTGCTAAACAAATTAAATTACTGAAGTTCTCATATAAAAATCGAAATTAAATAGGTTGTTTAATGTATGTACACCATCGGCATCAACTGCTATGGTTATTAGTCTCGTGTTCTGTGTAGGCTTTGTTACTGTTTCCCAGCGCCACTTTAGGAACAGCACTGTTAATTAGAACCCAACAGTGAATGGTCGAGTGGGGAATCCTACTAAGGTATCAGAATTAATTTTAAATAATTAAATTAAATGAAAAAATCCCGGCCAATGGTGGGATTCGATCCCGAGACCTTCCGATCTCAAAGTTATGACTCTAACCACTGAGCCAACCCACCCCCCCCCATCATAATATTTAAACGTATTTTAAGATACATAAAAGGTACATTATAACTTAAATTAGTCCATTAAGGACCGATTCCACCGTTGTGTTAAACGAAGTTTAAAATGACATTTTTACATTAACAATGTCATTTTAATCTCCGTTTAACACAACGGTGGAATCGGCCCTAAATACACAACATTTATAAATTAACTTACCTAATTAAATCGTTAAGAAAGACATATTTCGTATATGAGCTTCGAGGTGCGCTATAAACTTTCATGCCTTCTTTTAGATCAAGCGTTTCTATTTCCTTAGCATCGCGTAACTGTACACAGTAAACTGGTTGATAGACAGGACCTATTACATCGTTAATAGCTCCGAGAATTTTTTTTGAAGTTTCATTATCAATAAAAAGTAGCGTGTCTAAATTGTAAGAGTCTATATTTGCCAAAGATTCAACTGTTACTGGAAATGAGAAATTAAATAATGAAATTTTAGTCAGATTTTGTGAATTAATAACTTACCTAAAGCATCTATAAAATTTTTAATGTGTCCGATATGTTCAAACTGCTCTTTACTGAAGTTAATTTGTACATCTGATAGGTCTATTGTGGGTTCAACGATTTTATTGGCAACTTCGTCATCGTGGATTTTTTTGTGTGTTGAGGGAACAAAACTGAAAATTTTTAGATTTCATTATTATGAAATCAAGTTCGTATAATAAGAAAAGAATGTAAACAATATCTACTTTTAAACTTTTGGTCAATAAAGTAAATAAATCATCAAAATTGAATAACACTCCAAAACTGTTTTTCTTTTAACATATAGGCTGTTAGTATATTCGATCAACAAAAGAACTCTCGTTAATTGATGAATTTTGATATAGGAACATGAACCTTTAAAGGGATTAGTTAATTACCGAGATACAGGAAGTTAAAAGTTCTAAATTAAAAATTCAAAATTTGCCATAATATACGCTGAAGCTAAAAAAAGAGGAGCATTTACTTTAATAAAATAGATAAGTATAGAAATAATTCAAAACAAATGTGGAAAACTTAAAAAAATTGTTAATGATAATAGTCGATACAAAGCAAACTCTGTGATCTTTAAAACTACAGAAGGGAGAAAATTGTTAACAAACAGCCTAGAAATAGCAATCAGTTTTACCGAATATTTTGTGGAAAGCATTGAAAGTATTGAGAATATAATGTGGTCTAATGTAATTAATAACTTATATTTAAAATTTGAAATGCTTTCCTTTCTGGTTTTGCGAAAAATGGTGGACAGTTTGGATAATAAATTCTCACTACATGTATAACATTAAATTGCAGAATGGTGAAAAAAGTTTTTAAAACCATTGTTTTCTACTACAGGTAGGATTCCTAATTTCCTAATATGTTAAAAATAAGTCCTCTACAAAAGGTAGCTAATACTAATAAAGCTGAAGAATTTCGACCAATCAGTACTTTACCTCCTATAGAAAAATGATTAGAAATTGCTGTTTATGAACAATTTATTGGACCCATATTACAAAAAATAAAATTTTAATTAACTATCAGGTTCTCAAAAAACAATGCTCTTGTCGCTGTATTTCTGGATTTAAAAAGGGCGTTTCAGACAATCGACAGGGAAATACTGATTTCTAAACCTAAGCAGTACAGTATAGGGGGTATAGTGACTGAGTGGCTTAGAAATTATTTAGAATATCGCAAACAGAGAGTACGTTTTAATGATCAGGAACAATCTGAAATTGATAATGAAGCAGGAATTCCACAAGGTAGTGTTTTAAGCCCACTTCTGTTTATTCTGTATATTAACGATATTGACCTTTTTGTAATTTGTGAATTCATTAAACTTTTTTGCCTATGATACCTTGTTGTAATGATGAAAAATTGGATGTAGCCATTCAGAAAATGAATAGTATTCTAGACAAGCTTTGAAAATAAACAAATTGAAGTTAAATGTTAAAAAAATAACTGCAATGATCCTCACCACGAAATATAAATATAGCTTACTTGATAAAGAATTTGATTTGATTTAATACTAACAGCATACATTTAAATATTAACAATGAAAAAATTCAAATCACCAAATGTTTTTTAATTTTACATTTAAATTTAAACAGGATATAGTTAAAAACAATAAGTCAACTATAAAGGAATACCGCAAATGCAAAAAAAGTAGGGCCTCTCTTTGAAGGACTCAAAAAATATTGGTGTAGGAAACTACAGGTTGCTTGTCGGAAGTCACGACCTATTTGATTTACCGCCCATAGACGAAGATATTGTTTTTTATTAAAAGTGTTAATAGTTTTATTATTATATAGGTACTTATTTTTTTATTTTCGATTTACAGATTTAAAATTTGGACAGGTAGCCTAATTAGCAATGTACTAATAAAAATATTATTTATCCTGAATTAGTGAATCCCGAGTAAAACAACTTATTTGTATATTGTTCATTATCGAGTAAAAGTTCTTGATTTTGATTATTTTTTCCCATTTGAATGATTTATTCCATCTAATAATTAATCGTAGAAATTAAATTGATTGTTAATTAAGCGTTTTTTTTGCAATGTTCCATCAGATATTTAATATTAATATTTTTTAATAATTAAAGTTGTTCTAATTTTGACTTATAAAGTGGCATCTTTTGCAATCGCAGCAAGTGTCAAAATTATCTACTAACTATATATATTAAGTTGAATATATTGCGAAAAGAAAACAAATAAAAATAAACCATTTTTGGTATTAAAATCAATTATTTTCGGAGAAGGAAGGTTGGTTATATAAAAATAAATTTGGTCAGTGAACTTATAATTACTGGTTCGTTTGCAATTTTAAAAATCTAAATCCATTATAATGAACAAAATAATCGAAACAAACGACAGTGACATAGTTTTATTGTAAAAAAAACTAAAAATATTCATACATATCTATGCAAAATAACACGTTTTCTTGAAAATTAACAGGTTTTGGCAAGAAAATGAAAACTGTTTGTGATGATAAATATTTTAAAAGTATCAGATTGCTTTGAAGTTAACTATTATTTTCAAATATCTTTGATTGGAAGTACAGAAAAATATTGGTTAGTCATTTTTTATCAAACACAGTTTTATAAATAATTTAGTCAAAATTAGAAAAAATTAAAATTTACCATTAAATTAAATGATAAACACACATTAGGACGACACTGGCTCTTTCTGCTTTCTACCACTTTTTACCTTTCGCTGATGTAGTCCAGCTCGTCTATCGGTTTATCTCGGCGAGGTAGAGAAAGATAATGAATTGGGCTACTGTATATTCCCATACTTGTTTAGTTTGAGTTAATTTTTTTTATATTTATGCTTTTTCACATTTAAAGGGACATTATTATTATTCTAAATAAAATGTATTTAAAATAAATAAACAACAATAGTACGTATTTTTATTTAATTTTCATATTTTTCAAAAATAAAAAAATTGCATCTATTGTGAATTGAACCGCGTCGCGAAATGCAAAATTGACTACATGTTCAATGCTTAACTGGGGTCCATAACACTTTAGTGTCACAAAAAGTAAGCCATTTAGAAAGAAAATAGAACCATTTTGAATGTGGTAGAGAGTAATTCTTTACAAAAAAGTGCGGATTTTTTCAAAATATAACCATTTTTTTCTAACCTCAATTTTTTTATTTTTTGGAACATGAGTGAATTGTTCGCCGAGTTCAGGTACGAGTTTTGCAAAAATTTGTCAACACTCAAAAAAAACTAGTTTCTATAGTAAATTTTCGCAAAAAAACAGCATTTTTGAGAAAAATATAATGAAAAATTGAAGTGATCTAAAACCATATATTTTGTTGTTTGTAAAAATGCAGTAAAAATGCAGCACTTAAAAAATATATTTTTCGTCATGAAATGTACCACCCCAAACATTTTTCCCATATTCGCACAAGAAAACATCACTAACAAAAAAATTGTATATTTGTTATACTGAAATATCATATTATTTAAAAAAAATTACGTAACCGAACGCACGTAAAAAATGAATTGAATGTCGCCTGAAATGAAAGCATACCTAATTTTTCAAAAAAAATCGCTTCCCGGCCAACTGACACAGATCAAAGAATATACATTCTTACTTCTCAGCTTAATATCATTACTTCTGCCTTCTGCCAAACAAACCTAAGTTGTCTTATCTATTGATTGTTGCAGTAAACACAACATAAAATTTAGGAATATTTATTGATTTAAAATACATATTTTTCTGCAATATGATAATAAATATTCAAAATAATAATTAAAATAATCAAAATAATCAATAAAACGCTTAAAACCTATGTAAAATATAAAAACACAAATAAAATCAAACTCTCGACAAACGCACAAAAGAGCATCCGCGAATCGAAATTACTACGCTTCTATCAAGTAATAGGTAGTTTTCAACATCCGCAATAAAAAATAGTTCCAACTTGGAAAGGCCATTTTTTTGAATTTTGGCTATAATCTGCAATTTTTTTTCCAAAAATCAAGAAATACCTATCTGTAGTTTTATTTAAAACATATGTCAAATCTGTAATTTTGTGACACTAAAGTGATATGTCACCCTTAACTGAGCTAAAGAATCATGTCAAGTGTGTGTATTTTATGTTTTTAGTTGATATTTTTTACAACTTTCAGTTGTCTGACGTCTTGTTTGCAGGAATTTTAAACCAAATCCTTGCATATGACACTTCCTGAGGGTCCTGCCTACCACTTTACAAAATTCCAGCCGGAGGTACGATCATACATAGACTTCATATTTTATTATCTAAGAAGGATCGTACTACCTTGTAGCCGCTAATTCTGATTCTATTAATAATAAATAAAAATAAGATTCTTTCCATTGTCTTGTTTATTTGTTCGTTTATAAAAAACATCGATGTTTACAAAAATCGATGTTTTCTTTCCGATTTTTGTACAACATCGATGGTCTGTATTGGATGTCAACATCGATGTTTTAAAAATTTTGCGCATCCCTACAATGCGCTAGTTCAGTGCAATGAACTGGAGGGGGGTAGAATGCCAATGTATAGACATTGCGTTCGGTTTGCCACGTTCCTTTAACTCCTTTAACACTTTTAACTCCAAACGACTCTTTTAGCGTTCGGTTTAGTCCGATTAGTGACAGTTTAACACGCTTAAATGTCATTTAAAAGCACCCTAAAATTTGTCCCGCTCCAGCCCCTGACCGACCGAACTCGCCTAGAGAAAGTAAAAGTTGAAAAGTCTTTTGGTAGGTAGAGAGGGGGTAAACGTCAAACCACGTCGGGCGGTTCCAATGAACTGGAGTGGGGTAGAAAGCTAATGTGCATATTTTATCAATTGAACAAGATGCGACTCTATGGGCGCAGCCATTTTTATTTCTCATCTCACTCGGGAGTATTTATAATAACCATTTTCTGTTTCACATTGTTATTGTTCAATCCACAGGCTGGTGGATCAAACAATAACAAAGTGAAATAGAAAATGGTCGTTATAAATACTCCCGAGTGAGATGAAAAATAACCTGTCTTCGCCCATAGAGTCGCACCTCAAGCCTATTGACAAGCATTCTACCCCACTCCAGTTCATTGGGCGGTTCCGAGAATTTCACAGTAATGTTTACCTGCCAGTGTCGTTTCATAGAATAAGTAATTTTAAATTGTTATCGGCGGAACCGAACAATCGCATGTATTTATGGAATATAAATAATTATTAAACATGTATTATAATATTCAAATTATAATTTTACAAAATTTCAACAGCTATTCACAATTTATTAAACTATTTACTCGAAATTGTTATTAAAATCTATAAAATAATTTTGTACGCCAATGTATCGCGTCCACTTCGGTGAGATCCGGTGCCAACCTGTCAATTTATGTGTATAAAGTGGGAGAACTGGCAAAAGCATTTCCAACTTTTACTTCTGTTCTACATTTTTCTATGTGTTGTACTATTAGAACAAGGTGCGACTCGATGGGCGCAGCCATTTTTATTGTTCATCTCACTCAGGACTAGTTATAATAACCATTTTCTGTTTCACATTGTTATTGTTCAATCCACAAGCTGGTGGATCAGGATCAGACAATAACAATGTGAAATAGAAAATGGTTATTTTAAATACTCCCGAGTGAGATGAAAAATAACCTATCTTCGCCCATAGAGTCGCACATCAAGTCTATTGACAAGCATTCTACCCCACTCCAGTTCATTGGTTCAGTGTGATGTCATTTTTGGTTCCACTGACATTTAATTCTAACCAAACTTTTAACAAAAACATCAATAAATTTGACATATACGTTTTTACTGTTTTTATTTTATTTCAAAATATTGTTTACAGGTCATAAAAAATAATATAAAGGTATGTAATTGGTAACAACGATTGTATATTTGATACATGCTATCTACTTACTTTAGGAATATATTTATAAAAGTGAAAAAAAAAAACGATATAATTTAGGTAAACAGAACGCACTCAAAAAATCTACTGTCACTTGTCAGTGGAACCATAATTACATCATCACTGAACTAGCGCATTTAGAAAATGAAGAAGAGAAAGAAATACCAATCAAATACGACGATATCCATGTAGGAGATTTTATTTTTGCGAAATTCTTAAGAGGAAAGAGAAAAACTTATTTTTTTAGGTATATCTGTGTGGTTCAGAAGAAATATTCCCGAAACGATATTGAAGTTATATCCATTAAATCAACAAATGAAAGGAATACCTTCAAACTAGCTGATAATGATATTTCAACAATCAAGATAAAAGATATCATAAAAAAGTATCCCAACCAGAACTGCACAATGTCGGCGATAGAATAAAATATGTATTTCCAAAAAATATATTAATATTTTTGAAGCCTAAAGCACCCATAAATTTTAATTTTTTGTTTTTATTTTGTGTTATGAATTTGCTGTTTATTTTTATTTACTTAGTGTATTCAAAATTAAAAGTATAATAAAAAAATGTTCCTTAATTTGTGTCAATAATTGGTGTGTCAATTACTGATACATGGAAAAAATCAAGTGTCAATGACTAGTACTTCAAAACACTTTTACTATAATATTTATTTCATGAGAAGCAAAATAATTAGAAATAAAAATACATCACTAATGAACTCGACAAACTATAAGCTACAAGGAAAAAATGTATTATATGCTAAAATTTTTGTATTATTGGTGAAAATAATTATTTAAAACAAATCAGTGTCAATTACTGGAGCAATTACCTTATTTGAATGTAATTTTCAATTCTAATCAACTTTTCTTAATAAAAATTCATATTTTTGACAAACCTCGTATACGGCTTGAAACATTTGATATTTGATGACTGTATTCTAGGTTTTAGATAATGCAGAACTTTTTATGAAGAATAACTTTTTTTCCTAAAATTAATAATAAAAAGTTTTCCATATGATTCCAACTTAGGTGGACATACTGTATATTAAAAAAACGAAATACATTTTAGAGAAATAGGAAAGTATAATTTTTTTTTTATATAAAAGTAAATTGTACATTAACGACAATTATCACCAGTTTGTGGGGATGTTGGAGTGAAGAGCTGCTTTACCTTAGGGTAAAGGTAGGGATTATGAATATATTAATATTAGTTATATGGGTATTGGTGTCCCATTTTTCATTTTCATCTCATTTTTGTTTATTCATCTATGTTCAAATTTTATTTTTATCCTAATCATTGATTTTTTTTTCTCTTTCTCATAATTATTTTATAACTATATAAAGATAATGCACAGACAAGTGTTCACTCACTTAATGCATGTCATGTTGGTAAATTATATTAAATTGTTTTATATTAAACCACAATACAGCCTTCAGACACATATAAAGTATCCAAATACTACCCAACTCTGCTGTAGTATACAAAAATGTTATCAATGGTATGTCAACCAACTACTTACACAGGTTTATCATCATCTTCACTGGATTCTAAACATTCCTTGGAATCAGATTCACTATCGCTTGAGCTACAACTATTGGAAAAAACAGGAAGTTGCAAAATTTCTTCACAACCTCTCTCTTCATTATCAGAACTTTCACTGTCATAAATTAAAAGATTGCGTAAAGAAGATGTTTGATTTTTCAAAATTACTGCAGAAATGTTATTTTGTGTATCCACTATATCCAATTTATCAACTTTGTCAACAACTTCTTGTATATTTGGTGACGGAGCTGTTATCTCCTCTACTGTGTGACTTGAGCAATCTAATTACAAAAAAAGAACACAAAAATTGTTATGATCATTAACTTTTTGCAGGTAAGTTTATTAATTTTAAATTATTTATTCTTTAATAATTGCAAAAAGTGAATGATCTAATTAATTTAAAATTATATTTACCTTTTGTATTTGCAATATCCATTGCGATTTCTTGTTTTTTTTGTCTATTGCTGACAAAAATAGTAAAAATTTTAAATTAAATATGCCTTTTATAAATAGACTATCACACTTTTAAAAACTTCCGTAAGTTCGTATTCGAGAAACTCAGAATCAGAACTATAAAGAAATTATAGGGCTTTTTTATTATTATTATTATGGTTTCACTTTTTCAAAGATAACATGATACATGACAACATAACCACAAAACATACGATCATTGCTAATTCTTCTTTAAAAGTTAGTTTTTCTTGTTCTTGTGGCCTCTTCCTGCTTAGTATTATTGTGCTTTTCCTCCAGTCCGTATTTATAAACAGAACTTACGTGAGTTGGACTTGGGTAAGTCGTCCTTGAACTAAAATCGAAGTTCGGTTACAACGTCTCTATAGTTCGAGGTGGTTCCGGTGTTACACTGGAATTTAGAGATGGCTATTAGCGAATCTGTAACTGTTATGTTCATTTACGGATTTGTTACTACCCATCTCTAAATTCACGCGATATAACCGAACTTCGATTTTCGTTCAAGGACGACTTACCCAAGTCCGACTCAGATGAGTTTTGTTTATAAATACGGGCCTCAGCTGAGTCGGACTTGGGTAAGTCGTCCTTGAACGAAAATCGAAGAAGTTCGGTTATATCGCGTACATTTAGAGATGGGCAGAAACAAATCCGTAAATGTACATTTCAGTTACAGATTTGCTAATATCCATCTCTAAATTCCAGTCTAACACCAGAACCACCTAGAATTTTAGAGACGTTATAATCGAACTTCGATTTTAGTTCAAGGACGACTTACCCAAGTCCGACTTACCCAAGTACGACTTACCCAAGTCCGACTCAGGTAAGTCCTGTTTATAAATATGGACCTTGTGCATTCTCACTTTCTTCTTTTACATATAGATAAAGAAGGATACAAATATACTTAAAGTAAACTGCGTGTGTTAGGACCGATTCCACCTTGTGTTAAACGAAGTTTAAAATTACATTTTTACATTAACAATGTTATTTTAATCTCCGTTTAACACAACGGTGGAATCGCTCTTTAGGACAGATTCCACCGTTGTGTTAAACGGAGGTTAAAATGACATTTTTACATTAACAATGTCATTTTAATCTTTGTTTAACACAACGGTGGAATCGGTCCTAGAGATGCCAAAATAAAAATGGAAGTGATTGCAGCTAGAACACGGTGTAGCTAGAATAAACGATCGCACATACCAAAAGTTTAATCATTGCGTTCGGTCTGCCAAGTTCCTTTAACTTCTTTAACACTTTTAACCCCAAACGACCCTTTAGCGTTCGGTTTAGTGCGTTTAGGGCCGATTCCACCATTGTGTTAAATGGAGATTAAAATGACATTGTTAATGTAAAAATGTCATTTTAAACTTCGTTTAACACAACGGAGGAATTGTTTTAGTTTTTCTATGGTGGAATTGGTCCTTAGTGACATTTCAACGCGCTTAAATGTCATTTAAAAGCATTCTAAAAAACTCCGCTCCTATCCCGCTCCAGCCCTTGCCAAACCGAACGCGACTAGTAACATGGGTGACGGGTGACATTTCTTGACAAGATGTCAAGTGTTAAAGTTGTGAAGTTTTGAAATCTAATTTTGAGCATTTTGAGTTTTTTCGTGTTCGATTATTTTCATTAGAAAATTAAAGCTATCACAATTTCTTGAAAAGGAAAATAAATTCGTGTAGACTGACCAGAGTCCACGAATAGAGTTTAAAGGAAAATACTACTTATTTCATCAAAAAGAAGGTAAATCATCAAAGTGCAGTTGAGCAGTCACGCCCTTTAATAGATGAATATTGTTTTTTAGATGACCGAACAACACCGATTTGGAAGCGTTATAAACCCTATAACTTGTCATGCTTGGAATAAAGATAAGAGCCGTAAGTAAATATTGAAAATTAATAAAATCCTTAAAATAGGAATGAGATATTTTAAATGACTATGAATCATACTTCCTCAAAGTTTGTATATGTGATCTAAAAAATGTACTTTAAAGTCTCTTGTTAAGAGCAATTTAGTTTCTTTAGATTATATGTTCATTGTGTCTATAAAATTAATATCCTCCTTAATATCCTAGTGAACAGTGGACCTGTATATTTTGAATATAGCAAACTGCCAATTTACAAACTTTTATACTGAGTAGTTAACAATATTATTTTTAGAGATTCCTGAATATATACACATGAACCTCCATAATTGAAAATGTTTTGTAGGGTACGGTCGACTTTAGTTCCAGTAAAATTTTAAAGAAATTTATTTTTTATCAGAAAGAGTGTATTTTAAATAGTACATTTAAAAAAAAATTGCCGTAAATGCATTATTTAAGCCAAAAAAAATTATTTAATTTCTATAAAAATTTAGAAAATATAATTACAACGTTGCCGGATTGTGATAAAATTAGTAGTTAATGGAAAATTGTGATTGCCCATACCAATCCATAAATATGCATTTTAGGTTACATTCCACTTAAAAGGCAACACGAATTTAAAAAAAAATTGTACTATTAGAAAGTAAAGAAGTTATATATCATGACAATTAAAAAAAATTTGGAGATTATCCAGGATTAAGCGAGAAATTTAATATTAAAATCTCAAAAATTACACATTTTTAATCAAATATTTTGACTTATGTGTACAGGGTTGCCAAGTATTTTAATATGTAAGAAGATATAATTAATTTGTAAATAATAGAATTTTTTGATAAAATACCAGAATCTGTATCAAACATCGCTCTCCGGCCCCTAACACAGATCAAAGAATAATATCTGTTCATATCAGCTTATACAATTGTTTATAAAATTAAACAGCAATCCTTTGTAAGTTTTTATTCGCTCCGTGCGCGACATCAGCGCCAATTTGTTTTGGTATTAAAGGAGTATTTCTGCCTATACTGACAAATACAATTTTTAATAGAATTCGTAAATAAAAAGTATATATATTAGTTTTAATAAAAGTATATGGATTTATAAAACAATTAAAACATTAATTTATTATTATTATATATTTTTCACGCTTAAATTGAAGAAAATTATGTATAATCATTAAAAATCAATAATAAAATATAGGCAGGCAACAGTATTTACTGGAAAATGTATGAGAAGTTGCCTAAGTCTAATAAGTTGTCATTGAAGAAACTTAAAATGTATAAAAAGGATCGCTACTTATATTTTCATTTTTGTTCTAAAGAAAACAGAATGTATGATTAAAACTGGTTTCCGATCAGTAAGTCACAAAATTGCATACCAGCCAAATATTATAATCAACGGCAGAAATCTTGAAATCTAGTCCTTGCTGAATGAACATTTAAGAATAAAGGGATATTAAAGAACATCGTAAAATGATAATTTATTGTTTATTTAAAAACTTTCTAGTTTCTGATGTCTACTATTTCCAGCATTACTGTTATTATCACAAAAATAAAGGTAATTTTTCTTCTTATTGTACACCTATCCATTTATTTCTTTGATTTAATTTCCACTTTGTTAGTGAAATTTGTTATATAAGTTTCACTGTTTTTTTTTGCTAGTATTTGTACAATTTTCAACACAGCAACTCCGGTTGCTTATTGTGTTGTTTTTACCTACTTTTTAAAAAAAAAAAGTAAAATGTATACGTGTATTTGATATGCCAAAATTACAAAATATCCCCCTAAAATGCACGAATTATCCGCAGCTAGCGCTAGTATCGCTTTTGCTTCCCTTTCCATGACTTCGCACGGAGCGAATAACTTACTGACATTTCACATGACATTTTTGAGTAATTTCTAAAAATACAATGTTACAAAATCATTTTATTTGACTCATTCAACATAAAAGTTCACTCTAAATTCTCTGCTACCCCCTCATACTGTTAATACCCAGACTACTTAGTTTTTTAAATATTGCTGGTTGAAATAGTAACAAGTAATAAATTAATCTTAGCAACCCCGCTCATTATCCAGAAAAGAAATGTGAAATATTAAAATTTTCAAGTTTTAGGTTAAATTTAATGAAAGACTTGTTTTCTTTTTTTCAAAAAGTATTTATTTAAAATATATAATTGATTTATACTTTTTTTTTCGTATTTCCAAACCTATGGTGAGTTAAAATCATACTTAATATCATTTAAGGGCGCAGTATCACTGTATTTTTCATATAAGAAGCAAGGGTTCACCATTTCCGATTGCATTTAAATCCCGCTAAATGTATTAAAATGAATCTTCTACCAGCTTAAAGTATAAGGTTTGGAGAATGAAATCTCCTATTTTTTATTTGTCCTGTTTATACACTGAATTTTAAAAAAAATCATAAAAAGTGATTTTAAAACCACAGGCTAAAAAGTAGGAGATTTCATTCTACATATTTTTCCAAGTATCCCGCCAAAATATTTCTAAATTTTATTGCGTATTTTTCAAATCTAACTGGAAATACGATTAAGAAATATTTGATAAATTTATTTGTCAAATTAGAGATTTTCTATGAATTCCTGTAATTGTGTATAGTTCATGTAGTTCATCTATTTTTAAGAAGATGTCACCGTAAAAAAAATCTAGCTACTTTGTTTTAGAGATGGTTTTAATAGGTAAATGATTGTTTAGAGGTACCAATTTTTGAAACAATGATACAGCTGTATGCCGTCTTTTATTGTTTCGTGATTTTCATATATATTTGTCTCGCTTTGCGTTCCAGATACAAAATTATCGATTTGTGTTCCTTGCGTATGAACAAGTATTGGCCACGTTGCCAGATGTACAATAAATATCGATTTATACGATAATTTCACAATTTTTTGTCAGGCGAATTTAATTTTAAAGTGGGTGAAATGTGAAATGCGGGAGAGGAACTTTATTGCATTGAGATGTAATTTGAATCCGAATGACCTGGCATCACTGTATGGTACGCACGTAATATTTGCGGGACTTGCTTTCTTCTAATGAATGTTATTTTATCTTTATAAGGAACTTTATTTCTGAGTTAACACGTTGACTGCTATGTGTATATGTACCCTTGTGTATGTCCCATTAGTGCGTAATTGTTCAATATTTTAAATTGTGTTAAAGACACGCAAACATGTTTCAAAGAAAAGTTATATGGATTTAGAAAATACATATTTTAAAAATATTTTTGGATATACAGGGTGTTATATTTTTGCCTGGCATATTTTTTAAATAGAACAACATGTATTTTATTTCAGTTTTAGAATGATTTGGTAATACTGTATTCAAGCCTAGAATGTTTAAAAAAACTATTACAGGTTTGCCAAGCAATTAAATTTTTATGAAATTAGAGAATGATATGCAGACCCCAAATTAAATTATCATAATTTGGGTAGGATTACATTAATTTCAAAATTGTTTAATATACAGACTTGTAGCACATTAAGATAACAAATAGTGTTGATAGTGCTGGATTCTTTTATACCGAGTGTTTTGAAACTTGTCTTATATATGGCTACTTTGAGGTTTAATTTACTTAATTTTTTCAAAGGCAACATATTTTAGCATACAATTCCTTATAAATTTGCCTGTTCAACAATACCAACATGTTAGAGAATAACACCCTGCAGGTAGTTATACATATTTGATTGTTTTCAGGATGTCAAATAATTTTAATTGACTTCATTCATTTGCTATGTTATATGTAGGGTGTATCAAAGCGCGAGGTTACGATTTTTTTAATTGTTTCAATGGAATTCACTGTATTAATTAATTGGTGGTGTAACATAGAGAGTACATTTAAAAAATTGAGAAAATCGTAACCTCAAATTTTGACACATTCTATATACAACATATCAAATGAATCAAATTGAAAATATTGTTCGACGATGTAAAAACAATCAAATATGTATAACAATCTGCAGGGTGTTTTGCTTTAAAAATGCACACTGCATATTTATGAATAATTGTTAAATATGGTCATACAACTTTTATATTATTTTTTTTTTCGTATTTCCTATTATAAAACTCATGTGTTATTGACTATCATATTGGTATCGTTGGATATGTAAATTTATAAGGAATTGTATGTTTAAATAACATACAGCGTGTGGCATTTGAAAAAATTAAATAAATTTAACTTGGAATTAGCCATATTTAAGTCTTGTTTTTCAAAACACTCTGTATAAAATAATCCAGTTCTATCACCACTATTCGTTAGCTTAGTATCTTATTACTATTTTTTTAAATTAAATTATAATTTAATTTAGGGTCTGCATCATTCTCTAATTTCATAAAAAAATTAATTTATTGGCAACCCTGCAATATTTGTTAATAAAGTTCTAGGGTTAAATGCAGTATTACAGCATTGCATGCAGCATTCTAAAACTGAAGTAAAATACAGGGTTTTTTATTTAAAAAATATACCTTTTTATTTGTCAGACAAAAACGCAAAACACTGTATGTCTAAAAATATCTTTAAAATACCCATTTTTGAAATTCATATAACTTTTTATTTAGAAATTATTTACGTGTCCATAACACAAATTGAAATATTGAACAATTACGCACTAATGTATGTCCAGGGCCGACTAGAGGGGGGGGGGTAGCCGGGACTAATTTTCGGGGCCCGGGCTTAAATGGGGGCCCGGCAGCGCTGTAAGGGGGCCCGGCAAAGTTTTTTTTTGTTCTGCATGAGAAATTCGACACAAGATGAGAGAGGGAAGTTAAGTTTAAATTAATTAAAAGTTTTAGCCTAGAGAAGTTTTATTCGGGTGAGGACTTTTTTTTTGTTTAGAAGAAGAAGTAATTGAAAGGGAGAATAGTTTTTGATGTAAAGACCTTTTAAATTCTATTTCAGTAGAAGAGGAACAGTTTTTGGTTAAAGATTTTTTTGGCACATGGCCCGATCTAGCGAATTGTCCTGGGGCCCGGCCTGGCTCTCGGCGGCCCTGTGTATGTCCTGAATATATTATTAACAATATATGCACGCCACATATGTTTGTAATAATTTAATCCCGCGCCGCGTGTATGTATTTTATTCGCGCATCTATTAGATATTGTAGTTTACCTAAGTATTTACTTAAACTACTTAAAACGTAAAAACAGACTTAAATTTTTAGAAAAACTACTTCGGCTCAGCAGACCCGACCACAACATTTGCTTCGGCAGACAACGTGTTTTAAATGCTTTTTTATTTATTTGTTGTTTAATGTGTATTTGGTTATTAATATTTCAACAATGCTTATTTTTCTTATTGATTAATCTTTAATGAACACGTAATTTTTATTAATAATTGAAAATAGTACTGTAATTCTAAATTGATAAAAAAAAATTATAATAAAAACTTAATATGAAAACATAAATTACGACTCTACAAATGAAGTAAATTTTTATAATTAATTTCTCTTTTCTTACAAAAACATTATCTCAGCAATATGTCATAAGTTGCATACACACAGTATGTCTATGTAAGTTGACAGCATATAGAAAACTTTTTTTATTATTCATTTTATGTAAAAGTTATTCTTTATAAAAATGTATGCATGGTCTAACAGAAAATGCAACCACCCGATATCAAATTTTATCAGTCGGTTTTACAAGGTTTGTCAAAAAATGTATTTTCGACAAACCCTATATACGACTGATAAAATTTGATATCAGATGTTTGAATTTTAGGTTTTAGACCATGCATAACTTTTTATGTAAAGTAACTTTTTTTCTAAAATTAATAGACCATTCAATTGTTTATGAAAAATAAGATTTTTTCTTAAAATTCTTAAAAAAGTTTTCCGTATGCCGCCAAGTTACACAAACATACTACATATAAATGAGATTAAATTTGTTGAAAATAATTTTTACTGATGCAGATAGATCTATATAAAGTATTGTGGGTAAATACGGTAATAAAAACACTTTTTTATTATATTTTTCTTTTTTTTTATTTGATTCATTGGCTGCAAGACCTTTCGGTATATACAGGGTATTCCATTAAGAATGGAAGCAACTGAAGATTAACTGATCAGAAATAAGCCGATTAAACGAAACATCCGTAGGTAAAACATTACTCGAAAATCAAAAATTATAAACAGCTACAATTTTTTTTGTTATTCAGTTTAATTTTACTAAATTCGGCAAACGTTATTGGTGTAATAAAATACACCTATCAAAAATAAGTTAAATAAGCTTTGCCAGTGGCATACTTCATGGGCAAGTAACACCTTTTTCCCTTCTAAATTTTAGTCCACTGTCCAAAATTTTGATTTTTTTTTATTAAATTTCTAAAAAGAGTACATTATTTATTTGAAAAACATCAAAAAATTTAAAATTTTATGTCTAAATAACTTTTTGGATAGTGACGTAAAATTTAGAAGGGATGCCGTATTACGTACCAATGCTGTACGCCTCTGGAAAAGTTAATTAAAGCAGGTAACTAATTTTTTGCTGATAGGTGGATATTATAACATCAAAACCGTTTGCCAAATTTAGTAAAATTCTTGTGAGTAATAAAAAAATATAGCCATAAATATTTTTTGGATTTTAACACCGTAATTCGGAAACGAGAAACATTTTATCTAAACATGATTTGTTTAGTTGTCTTATTTTATTCAGAGAATCGTCAGTTGTTCTATGTCCCATTCTTAACGAAACACCATGTATGGTATAATAGGTCCCTACGTAATGATACGAAGACCTTTATCCTTTGTTGACTGGACACAAGAATGAACTACTAAGTAAATATACCGATATTCCGAATGTAATCCAAAATATTATTTTTATACCTGCTACATCGAAAATATTTGCAAGGTCAAGAACTCGTTTACGTATCATCGCGTAGTGGCTAGGGGTGATGAATTTGTTATTTTATAACAATTACCGTTTAAAATTAATAAAATTATTACGCCATCTGTTGAACAAAAGAACTATTAAATATGGAATATTGCTCCATCTGTTGAACAAAAGGATTCTTAATTTATGACATATAAATGACATCTATCAAAATTAGTTCATGTTACGAATATTGGGGGTGGTACTGTGGCCTTAAATCAAAAAAATAAAGTAAAACTGGTCAAACAGTGTGTCCCTAAAGTCGAACGTAACCTGCATTTTATGTACCGGGTGTTCAAATTAAAGTGTTACAATTAAATACCGCCTTTTATAAAAAACATATTTCAGGCGAAAGTTTTATAGTTTTTTGGGGAAAATTTTTTGGCTAAAATCGGTTTTTATAGCTAACCAGAATATGGCCAACTTTTTTTTCGTGCAGCAGAATTTTCAAGTAGGTGTTACTCAATAAGTAAAAGTCCAATAAAAAAATGTTTCCTTTAAAAGTTACTTATTTTTTTATGAACTTTAAGAATATGTAAAAAAATGGGGTTCCAATTTGAAAAAAAAAGTTTACCTCGATATGGCCATATTATGGTCAGCTATAAAAAAATTAATTTACCCAAAATTTTTCCCCCAAAAAATTATAAAACTTTTGTCTAAAACTTTTTTATAAAATGCATATTTTCGGCGGTATTTAATTTGAACACTCGGTAGATTAAAATTATCTTTTACACTATACTATTCAAATAAATACTTAAGAAGGTGTCATTGTGTAGGTACTCAATTATGTGAAAAACGAAGATGTGATTTTTTTTACTATGGTAGAGATCTGATCAAACCTTTATGTGATATATTTGACGATTTATTTCAGAAATTGCTTTTTCTCCTAACAACAATGAAGTTCACATATATAAACGTATTGGTACTGAATGGAAACTCATCGATACACTAAACCAGCATGATTTGCGTGTCATGGGTATAGATTGGGCTCCAAACACCAATAGAATTGTAACTTGTGCCGCAGATCGAAATGCTTATGTTTGGTCCCAAGACAAAGAGGGAAAATGGAAACCGACCTTGGTACTATTGAGAATTAACAGAGCTGCTACATGCGTTAAATGGTCACCAGACGAAAACAAATTCGCTGTAGGTTCAGGTGCACGACTCATTTCCGTCTGCTACTTCGAATCGGAAAATGATTGGTGGGTATCTAAACATATTAAGAAACCCATTCGTTCAACTGTCACTTGTTTGGATTGGCATCCTAATAACGTGCTCTTGGCAGCCGGATCCTCGGATTTCAAAGTTAGAATTTTTTCTGCCTACATTAAAGACATCGAGAAAACACCAGAATCTACACCTTGGGGTGCTAAAATGCCCCTAGGACAATTGATGTGCGAATTTGTCAATTCTAATGCTGGAGGAGGCTGGGTGCACAGTGTCAGTTTTTCTCCTGATGGAAATACACTTTGTTGGGTAATTAGATTTTTATATTTTGTATATTATTTATATTAAGGTTGTATTATATAAATCCCCCACAAAACAATTATCCCATATCGAAGAATTGACTCTACTAGTGATTTATGATTTATAAATAATTATTAGATGTTTGCGGTTCATAAACTTTCTCATTTCATAAAATGTGCATATAAATCTTTGTAATTAGGTCATTTGAGATTGTATTTGTTCATTCCATTTGAGATTTTGATCAATTATGATTCCTAAATATTTTGTTTTTTCAGACATTTTTATTTTAAAGTTTATTGTTTATGTGTAGGTTAAAATTCGGTCGCTTTACATTTGTCATTGAAAATGTTATAAATGTAGTTTTTATAAGGAAAGTTTATAAAAATCTAACCAATTTTTAACTCTACTTATGCCCGGTTCAGATTTGATCTTTGTGTGATCATTAATGATAATAAAAATTATAACAGTGTTATCTTCATATGAAATCACTGTTCCATTAACGTGTGTCTTTAATAAAGAATTTATATATACTAAGAACAGGATTCGTCCAAGAACAGTTCCTTGGGGGACGCCTATTTTTTACATCTTCTGGGCCACTTAGCTTATCTTTCATATTAATCATTTGTTGTCTTTGAAGAAAATAATTCTTTAGAAGTTTTAACACCATACTTCTCACTCTGTATGTTCAAGAACATTTAAGAGTGTATCATGAGGTACTGTGTCAAAGGCTTTTGCCAGATCAAGAAATATTGTTATACATTTATTGCCTTTGTTTAGGTTAATTTTAATTTGATTTATCAGTTCAAACATTGCATTATGTGCTGGTGTTTTGTTTAAACTTAAAACATTGGTTTTCACTTAGTATATAATTTTTTTATTAGATATTCATTCAATCTTCTCTTTGAACATTTAAAAAAAATGCTGTAGTATTTATAAGACTAAGTAATGGGTTTATAATTTGTTATGTGGTTTTTATTTCCATTTTTGTATATCGAAATTATTGATATTTTGAATTGTTCTGGAATTTCTCCACTTTGAAATATTAAATTAATAATGTGAACAAGACGTGTTAAAATATAGTTGTGATATTTTTTTACTAATTTAGATGTTATCTGATCAATTCCAGGAGAACTATTTTCTCTTAAGGTTTTGTTAAGATAAATAATTTTATTTCTGTTTTAAAATGTGGTTAATTTGTTTTATAGTTATTAGGACGGATATCAAATTTTTCTGCTAATTTTATGCTGACTTTTGTATTATATTACAAAAATTGGCCATGCCTTTGGTAGAAGAGAAGGTAGCATTAGTTTCATGATTAACAATATTTATTTCTTTTACTGTCACTAGTGTTTTCATTCGTTGCTTCTTTCAAAACTTTATAATTTTTTTTTCATGCCTTTGATGTTATATAAAATATTTGTATAATAGTTTGATTTGATAATTCTATTTAGTTGGTTTCTGTAATTCTTATAGTTATTAAAAAGTTATATGTTTTCTCAGTTTTTATTTACTTTTTTTTAATTTATGCGTATGTTTTATCGAAATATTAAATATCATAACAATGTCTTAACTTCAGGTATCACACGATTCTTCGATTAACATAGCCGATGCCACAAAAGGAAACGCCGTGCAAAAACTTGGAACAGAATTTTTGCCGTTCTTAAGCTGTACTTGGATTTCCAACAGATCGATCGTAGTAGCAGGACACAGTTGCATTCCAATTTTATACGGTCTTAACAAGAGTGGCCAATTGGGTTTTGTTGCAAAATTGGACGCTTCTCAGAAAAAAGAAAGCGGTGGTTTGTCTGCTATGAGGATGTTTCATTCTTTGGATAAACAAGTTAGTATAATTTGATTTGTTAAGTGATTAAGTTTCTTTGAATTTAGCGCATTACTGTCATGTACGGGTACCTTTTTGATATTTATAGTAAAACTTAATAAAATATAAAAAAATCTGACACATGACTTTCCTGCCTAGTTATTATAGGCTTTTTCTTGTTATTTTGGATGAACTAAATATATACATTTTCCACACATCTTACTCGGAACATTTTTTTTATATATATTTATTGCCAACGAAAATACTAAAAAAATTAAATTTTACACATTTCCTCAAAATTTCTATTACTGTCCTTTTTGGAGAAATCATGTTTAGAACAAAAATTTTAGAGAATGATATCGCAAACAACTTTTATTTGAAGAATTTTCTTCTCCAATTGTAAATACAAGAGATATTCGTTAAAGTAAAAAAAACGACACCCTATAAAGTACCCATTTAGATGCTCGTGTTGTTGTTGGTAGTCTATGTATGTCTGTTGCCATTTTACGAGACTAGACGATTAGTTTCTGCGCCCAAGCTGAGGTTGTGGTGGGCCTCGATTTCAGCACTGCAAGTGATGTTTTGTCGTTTTCATTGATTTCAATTCAAAAATACTTTATATACATAATTACATTTTATTTAACACAAATATATTTACAATTAAGTGTAATTAGCCTCCCGAAAATCTTTGTTGCCCAAAAACTTTCATTTGCCTAACGTCGATGCACCGTGGATGATGCCATAGCCCTAACTTGTCAAATTTATAGGTTTAGTTATTTACGTGCAATGTTGCATCCTAATATGACAGACACTGGTTAGCTTGGCCGATCGGTACTGGAAATTACTATAAGTTTTTGTGTGAATTTACTTATGCGAGTGTCCCCTGAGATACTTTTAAAACAGGGTTTTGTGTGTGTATTCTGTATTGTTTTTCATCATCATCATCATCAACAAATCTTTATTTACATATTTACATTTACATTACATTTACATTATCTTCTACGGGTGTCCGAAGTATTCCTATTCTGCGATATGACCCCCAACGGAGCCATGACCGATGTCGTGGCCGTATACCTATATTGTTCAATTTATTATTATGATTTTACGTGATCCCTCCTTGCTGTATAACAACATTATAGATCAATATAGGCTATTAACCAGGTCAGTAATGGAATAGTAATGAGTTTTTGTATGATTTTAATTGTGTCTGTCGTCCCTGAAAAACCAAGTGAAAAAACAGGGTTGTCCTAAGTGTATGTTTACGTGTTAATTTGTGCATGAATTAGTCCAATCACAAGACTACACCGTTCAACCATCGCTCGACACAAAAGTTCCGGCAAGCCAAAAATTTCGCACCGAGCAATGACGCCACCGTGCAGTCTTCCGTCCGACTATAGTTGGTAATTAATCGTCGTAGTGATTTGACTATTCAGTGTGGTCGTCGCTGCTGAGGAGGATGTACGTCAATTTTTATCCTGTTTTCTGTCATATATGTCCGTAATGAGTGCATACTGCAGTCATTCATGCCCATGCTCACGCCAATTTCCCCGAAAAACATAGACATCAAAGAAAACTATGCTTAACTGAGAAAAAGCGCTTCCGCAGTCGCATAAACAACCACAGTAGCATTTTACAATGTATTTTAACGAATGTTACTGATTTTACTGTGATGTATGTTGAAATTTAGTTCATAAGCTTGAAGTTAATGTCTACGTCCGTCATGAACGCGTTGTAAGTTTCTATAATCTCTCTTCCCGTTGTGCATTTAATGAGTTTGGCGTTCAGTGCTCTGACTGCCCTGGTTAATTCGCCTATATTGATTATGGAGTTAAGTGTCTGAAACTCATTGTTGAGGGCCGTCTGTATTGTTTTTGTCGTTTTCTGTCCAACTTGGTAACGCAACGCTTTAGTCTTCCGTCCGACCAGTAATCGAGGGACCTGTCAATCGCTGTTTGAACGACCGACCAGTCACATTACTTTTCCGTTCACTATAAATACTCCCTATAATATTTAAAAAATACAAATTCAAAAATATTTTCTTTTTTTTTTAGGCAAGAACCGAAACTTCCGATACCAATTTGGATTCGATTCATCAAAACGCTATAACTTGCGTTTGCATTTACATCGGCACTAGAGAAAAGGCATTGAAAATTTCAACTTCTGGTGCCGATGGTCAGTTAGTCATATGGGATTTAAATTCGTTAGAAAGATCGATTCAGAATTTAAAAATTGAATAATAATAAATTTTATGCTGAAGAAGAATAAAACGTTTTTTTTATACTCCCGGAGTCTTTCAGCACTTTCATACTGTTTTTTCTTTGTAATTTTGAATAACTTGTTCAATTTCAATTTTTCTGGAATTACAACTAAAGTCATTTTTAGGTAATTTTTGTTAAGCTTATTTCTGGTAAAATAAAGCATTTTTCTATCCAAAGTTTATTTTTACTGGACATTCTAAAAATGTGAAAACGGATAAATTTCATTATTCTAAGCTTGATTAGTATTGAAAGAGGATTATATAATATCACTCATTGAAATATGAATGAATAAAACGCTCGATATGTCATTGTTATCATGTATTACAGCGGTTATTTACGTATTATGACGTCAATCAAATATCAAGAGTTCCTATATTCACTTATGTCAAAACTGCGACTGGATCTCCACTTCAAAATTTGACAGTTGTCGATTTTATTATAATTTTCTATTACGGCTCGTTTTAACAATATTTCTGCCAAATTAATCAATGATTTTTTATTTCATGATATATTCTATCTGTATACAACTCGACAATTGAAAATTCTCGAAACTCGATGTATTGCCTAAAAAAACATCACTCGACCTGCATGGTCGTGGTTTTTCAGGCAATGCATCTCGAATAATTGAGAATTTTCAGTTGTCTAGTTGTATAATATATGAAAATTGTTAATGTAACCTGAAAGAGATTAGATTTTTAGTCGCTGGTTCTTGATGGTTTTCATTTCTTTTTCTGTATTACCTGCTGTCCTCTGGAGTTCCCAATGCTTTGATGAAGGTTTGTAATAAATTTTAAGTTCCGCCAAATTGTTTATTAAATAGTTTTTATTAGTGTGGGTAGGACCACATCATAAAGTTGAACCAGCAGACCCACTCCGCGAAAAAATAAGAAGTGTGCCGATACCATCCTATGCAAGCAATTCGCCATAATCTCAGGACGCTCAACATCGTCGTGTAGCATCTTTCATACAGGGGAAAGTCTTATTATGATTGATGCGGACGAAACATCACTTACTAAGATCAAAGGATTTTCTTATCGAGTGTGCCTGCTGTTCCATCTTTATGCTGTGGGTAGGACTGGCCGATTATCAAAATAAATAATTGATTATTTGAAATAATTTATTATTATTGATTAATCGAAAATACGCAATTAATCAAAAATAAGAGACTAGACAAAACATCGATTAACCGAAACTAATCGATTAATTTAAAATAATCGATAGTAATCGATTATCAATTTCGATTATCGATTTAAAAAAGTATTGACACATCAATTACTTTGCCCACTCCTAGTGATGGGTCTTTTCAGGAAAAGTAATTTGTGGACATGTCTGGAAAAGTAATGAAAAGTAGTCGACCTTAAAAACTAGAATTTTGGAAATAAGAAAATGAATAATCGTTAGTTCTCCCTACGAAATTATGAAAAATATACCTTCATATCCCCAAAGTGAAAACAAAAAAATTAAATATGAGGAAGGAATGAAGCAAAGTTTCAAATAATCAACACTGTATTGTCTACATTTCTTTTTAGATTCGGTCATGTTTAAGAGGGTTCTATACCCATGAGCTCGATCAATTTCATACATAACCTCGAAATCCACGTCCCTTACGTCTTCACCCATATACAAGAGAAAATCAAAGTATGACGTGTCTTCACCAAAATACTCCCTTTAAAGAAATTGTTAGGCAGCCTGAAATACATCTATGTGCATTTGTGGTTGCATAGTCTACCAATTCTCGGATAAGAACATCTAGACATAGCATTTTCGGTCGTGGATGATTGACAAAATTAGATTTCTATATATAAATAAATAATCCACTTCTTTGCCTGACGTAGATTTGACACACTTCCGATTTATTCACATACTTAAAATCAAAGTATGTGGATTTATTATAGTCACAGTGATTATAATCGCACAATCTTATTTTGTAGATATTTTGTTTGTGTGCAATTAATTGTTTTCAGTTGTCAGTAAAGGAAGTATTGAAATCATTTAAAAATCACTTTTATAGATGCAGAAAAAAAAATGTAAATAATATGTAAAAAACATTTCAAATATTAATACAGATTTAGTTACCTAGTCAATTTTCAGCTTGGAACATATTTTATGTTACTATAAATTAAGTCAACAGATGGGGATGATGATAAACACAATATAAACTAACATACAATATTTAAAGATTCAACTTCCTTCCTTCCTTTCTTCCTTCCTTCCTTCCTTCTTTCTTTCTTTCTATTTATTTGCACATTTCAGAATAGAGAATGATTAGTTTATAAATGGGACTTTAGATTTTGGTTTCATAATGAGCTCATTATGCAACGCAAAGCCTTTTTGAAAAGTGCAATTTTATGAAACGCCATTGGTACCCTTGATTTTTGCTCGAAGAATGTCTTTTTCTCCACTATTCAAGCGAAATCGGACATTCATTTTTTCCGACCGTAAAATTTTCGGAGCTGAACTAAAACTTTTTTTAGAAATTGTGTTTTTTATAATTTCGGACCAAAATCGACAAGCTCGTTTCATAATTTCGTATTCGTATTTTGTATTTGTTTACCTACCTACTTTATAGCAATTTTATGCGCATCCTATTTATCTTTCATGAAATTTCATAACTGTGAATTTTGTTTTTCGTAATAAAAACAAGTTTCATTAGGAATAATTTTTTTGTAGAAATGTATTTTAAAAAAGGACTATTTCCAACGCTACTATGAGTTTGGTCTGTGGATTCACAAACTATCTGTAGAGTTGGCAACACCGAACCTAAAAGCTGGAACTGAATTCAAAATTAGCCAAATAAACACAATATTTATTGTTTGCCGTTCTCCGATCTATTTATAGTCAAATACCCTTGGCTTCTAAAGATGATGACTATACTCTGTTTTTAAACTAAGAGGAGCGATTTGAATTTAAGTTGGCAATTCTGTAGCATTCTGATTGGTCAGATTACAGTCAGTTTCACACATTACTTTTTAGCATGAACATCAGCTAATAATTGATATTGTTGACAGTTCTGACATTTTATAATTAGTTTTTTACTTTATTTCGTAAATAATAGTTCTTCAGTAAGCAATTGTATTGAAAATCTACAATTATGGATCCTTCTACACTGAGTACTATTAAAGGTAGCAATTTCTGAAAAGCCTTACAAGAAAGGGAAGACACCTTATTATTTTACATGCTGATTCTGAAGGTTTTGTAGAAAATGCATTATTGGTTTTTGAAGGTAAAAAGATGGGAGATTACCATGAAGAGATAAAAATAATTTTATAACTGATTTTTTAAAACTAAAAATTGATTAAAATGTAACTAAATATTTAAGCAAATTTTATTTACTAGAATAGAATAAAACTATTTACAAAATTGTTATAACATTTAAAACACCATCTACTACTTTAGGGATAATCTTAATTTGGCACAATGAGTTAACGACATTACTTTCACAAAAAATATTTTAAAAATACTTAAAATTAATACATTGGTATGTATGAATAGTTCACTTTAAAAAATATATGTTGACATGTAGTGTTATGAAAAGGTTGGTTCCAGTTTTCAAAACAAATTCTGACTCATAGGCCTGTAACTTTTGAATGCCTTTATTTGCCCTCTAGCGCATTAACCATGGGTTAACACTAAATAAGCCATAATATCCACATAACTCATAGAAGAGATACCAGTTACTGTGTGATCCACTTGTCATTCACTGATTAACTTTTACTTTTTATACCTATAACAAATTATCCTTAAAAATGTAAACAGATCTTTATATTTTATACTAACCTGGCTACATGTGGATATTCCATTAACAATTTCCTTAAATATTTAACATCCATTTTAAAAAGATCATAGTTATTCTCAAAAAGTCGATTTCAAAAGCAAGAAAAAAGTATTTCTGACATCAATCAACAACCATATTGACTTTAATTTGACAGTGACATTTCGTTTTAGACACACATTTCAGATCACAATAATGTGAAATTTGCGACCGTTGTCTGGGACCAATTAAAAAATTACTTCTATGACATTTATTCGTTTCTAAACCGCTCATTGGCCGTTCACCGACTAAGGCCGATAAAGATAATTATTTCATAAATTTTGAACACGACTATATTTCGAAACTCGCTCTTAGTAACAAATCTAGTTACTTTTCCCTGTGTAAATGCGTCTTTTCAATTCGCTCCTCCTAGTTTAAAAACAGAGTATAGTAGTTTTTAAACTTTGTTGGAATATTTCTTAAATTTAAAATATATTATTTAAAAAAAAACAATTACAAAGTACTGCAAACTAATATCAATTTGGATTTTTGGATTCTCCCGGAAAATGGACAATTCATATTTAAAATCTCCCGGCTCCAGGACCGTAGCTAAACCCTCCCGGATCTTTTATCTATGAATAAAGACGATAACTGATCTAAATAATGAACCAAAGAAAATATTTCGAGAATAACATTCCTTCTTTTTCTGAAACACACTCAACTGCCCGACAAATTAATCGCCCAGTTATCACAAAACTCATTTTCTAAAGATTTAGTATAAAAGATATGTGGACATGAATTTACAAATACAGCGTGCAGAGGCCAAGCGACTAACAAATTGTCAATGTTGCCTCTTTAATTACCTGTGTATTTGAAACCCACGTTATTTCGTTTTCTGTTTGCACTTTAAACAATCAAAACTATATTCCGTATACGCACCCACTGTGTGTTGAATGTTGGGAACGATTCGACTGGCTTGTATTTAGATCTATCGACGAGTGCCTGAACTAAAATGTTGGTAAAACAGGGTTTGTCGCATATATTATTTGAAATTTTAGCTTGTATTTTATTTCTCAATTTTCTCCCTTATTACATTGATTTGAGAATTGGTTTCAAGGTAATTGTATTTGATTATTAATAGAGTATTTGCTTGACCCCTTGAAAAAAATCGTATTACGTATCGTATTTTTTTATAATTGTTTAAACTTTTGTTTTTATTATTATCAAACGTCTTCCAAATCTACATATGTTGTATAGTTTTCAAATTTATTAGGAAATAAAATTAAACGCAATTAAACTCTCGCCTTAAACGACCGCTCAGGACATTGTACGGCTAATACTTTTATTATCGAAAATTGAATATCAACATTAC